AACTATTGTGGCATCAAAGGGGAAACCGCAATCATTTTTGCCTTCGATAACCCAGAGATGATTGATCTTTTGCTGGGGCACGGTTCCAGAATCGTCGTCAAAACAGACACTGACTGGGTGTGCCCGCTGTCGTACCGGGCTCGTCGGACAAGTAACGTCGATCGTTGGGACCCAAGAAGGTGGTACTGGAAACGATCTCTGGGGCTGCTTTGCAGTGCTGGATTGGACCTTGATCTGCCATCACAGCAGCCGGGCTACGATGGTCGTACCCCTGTTCACGACACAATCCTATGGCGCAATGTGGCATTATTGGAGCTATTAATCCAGCACGGAGCCAGACTTGATGCAAGAGACAGGCATGGCTCAAGCTCTCTGCATTTTGCAGCTCAAAGCGCGAATATGGAGCTCATCGATGTCTTACGGGATGCTCACATCCGTGGGCTGGATCCAGACCAAGCAAACAATGCTGGCGATACACCAATGAAGATAATCACAGCACGGATGTATGGCAGCGAAGATGGGAGGCAGCCAGGCGAAATAAGGCCAGCATATAATGAGTGGCTGGCTTTCAAACAACTGTTGCAAGAAATACGGGACCGCAACTGTGGTGATTCCTCACGAGACCGTAGTCGTACGGACTTTTCTGGACGCCGTTCGCCTAGCATCCCGCCCGAAGACTGGACACTTGGTAGCGATAACGTCTATCAAACTGCTGTTCAGTCGTTGAGGAGCAGCACGTTATCAACGACTGTCGATGATCTCACTCCTGTGGGAATTTGGGAGGACAACCGCAGCGATGAGGATCAGGTCTTGAACGTAGCTAACGAGGGCTGAACCAGCCAACTCGAATCCAACAAGCAAAATAGTTGCTTTGGTCGTACGTACGCACGTATCCATTCCGTATCATAACTTTATTACTAGCTGTACCTCAGGGTTTCCCTCCGCGGTCATGTGCTGAGAAGATTTGCACTTGCCATTTGGCTATGACCCTGGAAACGCTAAGTAAGCTTCCTGCGTCGTCCACGATCGTTTCGGTGGCAATCTGGGATGGATACGTTGCTTTTTCTATTCTTACCTAACTGTTATCGCATCTATACTTAGTACCGTATTCCAGATCGACTTGGGTGGCACACTACCTACCTTAATTCCAAGATTGCAAGCACTTGCACACCTGTAAGAACAGGCGAACTGCTGGCACGACACGGTCCCACACTCCGCCTCCCCATCGGCCAGCCCCACCTGCCAGGGGCCACGGACGCAGAGTCCAGACTATGTGTGGCCGACCTACTGTCAAACTGGAAACTGGAGACTGGAGACGGTGGCCTCACCCCAAAATACACTTACTCACACGCGCAACTCTCTTGTCGCCTCATCCGTCAGGCATCAGAACCCCCTTCCTTCCTTGGCTGGCGCAACGGCTGGACCTGAACCCTGGACCACGCTACAGATTCTTGACACACGTTTCGTTCTCCTCCTGACCTGCCATTGCCTACCTTCCTGCCTGCCAGTCCCGTCGCTCGCTTTGTTGGTCCCTTTATGCTTGGCTTCCCCCTTTGCCAAAAGCACCACCAGTCTTCCGCCACCCATTTTTTCTCTTTCGACGCCGCAGGACGATTTCGGGGGGCTTTGACACAGAAGAAAGGAACATTGGCTTCTTTTCTCAACCACTTCCACCCTCCATGTCTCCGGCGATCCAATAGGTTTTAATCACCTCAAATCCCTTTGCAAAACCTCCGACGCACCGCATCACGACTTGACCTGATCCACGCCTATCTGACGCTGCACCTCTGATTACGGCTTGACATTGATTGCGCCTTGTCGCGTTCCTTTTGTTTACTGCCTTCATCCGTTGACAGCAACCTTCTTTGGCGACTCTTGCTCCCGCCCTCTTCTCAACAGTCATCGCACCCACGAGGTGCAACCTCGTTGTTGCAATGAGGTTATCGCCTTTGTTTCTCTTCCTGGGCTCGACCCTGCTATCCGGGGTGCAAGTAGCAGCGAAGGAAGAGCAGGATCACAAAGCGAGCACCTACTTCAATTCCATGAAGGTGCCTCCAATACTCGAGTTGACACCAGATACCTTCGATAAGGAGGTGAAAGCCCATCAGTTTATGCTTATCAAGAATTACAGGTATCTGCCTCTGCTGTTGCTTCACCCCCTGGGCGCACCGTTACTGACCAAAGCATAGCCCTTACTGCCCTCATTGCATAGATTATGCGCCGATATTCCAGACCCTATACGAGTTCTACTACACTTCAAAGCCCAAGTCAAAGGACGACAAGTCCTTCACTGATTTCTACGACTTCCGTTTCGCCACAGTAAATTGCGTGGCCTACTTTGATCTCTGTGCAGCCCACAAAATCCAGTCGTACCCCAGCACCGTTCTCTATAAGGATGGCGAGGTGGCTGAGGTGATCAAGGGCGTCAAGGAGATCGACCAAGTCAGCCCCATCATCGAAAAGTACCTGGAAGCGGCCAAGCCCGGAACGAGACCCCGCAATATCGAGCTGCCCAAGGCTGGTGACAAGCACTCGCCCGACAAGGCGCCTGGCAAGACGGTCGACTCCAAGAAACCTGCGGACAATGAGGTGGATGAGAAGACTGATGCGAAGGCGCCGTCCAAAGAAGAGACGAAGGCCCCCCCCAAGGCCCCTCCTGCGAAGGAGGATACGAAGCCTGCCGACAAGACGGATGCAAAGGCCGACGCAAAGGCTAGCACCACCGAAAAGGCACTTGCCACCCCCACCAAGCCTGCGACGAAGAAGCCTACCGCTACTCCCAACAAGGACGGCATCTCTGTGCCTCTTACCGCTGAGAAGTTCCAGACTTTGGTGACCATGACCCAGGAGTCCTGGTTTGTCAAGTTCTACGCGCCGTGGTGTCATCACTGCCAGGCCATGGCACCTAACTGGCAGCAAATGGCCAAGGAGATGAAGGGCCGATTGAATGTCGGAGAGGTCAACTGCGACGTCGAGACTAGACTTTGCAAGGACGCTCGCCTCCGCGGCTACCCTACCATTCTCTTCTTCAAGGGTGGCGAGCGCGTCGAGTATGAGGGTCTGAGGGGCCTTGGCGACTTCCTTCACTACGCCGAGAAGGCGATGGACATCAGCGAAGGAGTTCAGGAGGTTGACGCCGAATCCCTGGCAGCCCTTGAGGAGAAGGAGGAGGTCATCTTCATCTACTTCTACGACCATGCTACTACCAGCGAGGACTTCATGGCTCTCGAGCGTCTCCCCCTCAGCCTGATCGGCAAGGCGAAGCTTGTCAAGACCAAGGATCCCGTCTTGTACTCTCGTTACAAGATCACCACCTGGCCTCGCTTGCTCGTTTCGAGGGAGGGCCGCCCCACGTATTACCAGCCGCTGACACCAAAGGAGATGCGTGATGTCCACCAAGTTTTGAACTGGATGAAGTCAGTCTGGCTACCCATCATTCCCGAGTTGACTGCCTCCAATGCGCGGGAGATCATGGATGGCAAGATTGTCGTTCTCGGAATCATCAATCGGGAGGACTCGGAAGGCTTTATGAGAGCTAGGCACGAGTTGAAGAGTGCCGCCAACGAGTGGATGGATAAGCAGATTCTGCTCTTCCAACACGAACGGCAAGAACTACGTGACGCGAAGCAGCTCCGTATTGACGAGGCTGAAGATCGCGGCGACCAACGCGCCCTGCGCGCAGCCAAGGCCACCCGTATCAACATGGACAAGTCGGACAGGAAACAGGTTGCCTTTGCCTGGGTCGACAGTGTCTTTTGGCAGAGATGGATCCGCACCACGTTCGGCATTGACACCAAAGACGGAGACCGTGTCATCATCAACGACGAAGATGTAAGCCTATTATTCCGTGGCCGTAAAATTTTGTTTTGGTTTATTTTGCAAAACTAACTCGGTTTGTAGAACCGCCGCTACTGGGACACAACCATCACTGGTAACAACATCCTTTTGTCTCGGACCTCGATTTTGGAGACCATTAGCAAGGTCGTGACTTCACCGCCCAAGATCAAGCCAAAGCTCACCATCTCGAGCTTCGAGAAGATCTTCTTTGATATGCGCGTTACCTTTGTTGAGCACCCCTACCTGACCTTGGGCTGCATTCTCGGCCTCGCCTTTGGTGCCTTCTCATGGTTCCGCAGCCGCTCTCGCCGGGGTCGTGGTGGACACTTCCGCTTGGAGGAGTCCTGGGGCAACAAGGAGCTGATGAAAGAAGGTCTGTTGGGCCCTAGCGGCAACGGCAAGGTGGATTAGAAATCCGGCGTGTATGAGCAGGGATTGAAGAGGCTAGAGGAGCAGAATCGTCCTACGCATGATCATCTACGCAAGTTGGACTAATGGAAAGCCGGAAATGAGGCTATGACGAATTTGTGGGTTTGACGTCAAAACGTTTTGAGTGTCTTTCGTCCACGGAGTACAGATGAAAGAGAGAGAAACCTACAGCATTGGGGCGAGCACTCACGGAGTTGACGGGGAGCTTTTATTCCTTTATTTCTTCGTTTCTTCTCCTGTCTTTCCTTGGTGTGATTATGGCTGAAAGGTCCAGTCTGTATAATACTCTTTTTGGTTGGCTGTGATAGGGGGATCCCCTTGCACATACTGTTTGACAGATTATACATAGTCTTTCCGACTTTTTTTCTTTCTTTTTTCTTCAATCGAGGCTTTGAAGAGTTTCTTTCTTCCTCGTTTGACGCGTGGGTTATTTAGGCAGAAGAGGTTGTAGGAACGTCATGTAGGGCTGAGAAGGTTAAATACACATGTATATGTGTACTCCACGAGACAAGGTATGGAAATGGGAGGTTTATTTTTTTTTATTTCTAGAACCCCACCCCTTCATTGCTGCTGTAAATGACGTGTTCCACCCAGAGATGCTGCATCTCAGGCACTTGGTTAAAGACAAATCCTGGTGTTTCGTTGTTTCTTATTTCGCTCTAGTTCGTATTAAAGAAAAGGTCCCTTGGCATTTCAGGAGAGGGAGGGGGTTGCTCCTCTGGTTCCCTGCATATCTACGTGTAGATTTCATCCGTGAAGCTGTTGAGGGACAGGCCGTCCTTGGCAATGTCGTCAACGTCGACGAGGAAGTCGAGGGGCATCTCGACGAGGGTGCCACGCACGCGGTTGAGCCAGTCCTTGACCTCGCGTACGCCGCCGGGGAACTCGTCCTTGACGACATGGCCGTACTCGACCTTGCCGCTCGTGTCCTCCTGATCCTTAGCGCCGGGGATGATGAAGTGCTTGCTGAAGAACTCGTCGTAGTCCTTCCAGGTGCGGACGTGGTCGTTGGGCACGTTGTGGAAGACCTTGGAGAAGACCTCAGTGTTTGTGCGCGCCGTGCTCTCCCACAGGTCCCAGAACTCGCGCGACATGGGGTCCCGCACGAGGCGGTCGGCGGGGGAGTCCCAGTCGTAATCGTTGGGGCCGCGCTCTACTGACGTCCAGTTGCTGTTGGGCTGGTCGCAGCGTTGGTCGGGGAGGAGGCCGAGGTGTTTGCGGAAGATCTGTCGGCGGAGCGAGGTGGCGAACTTGGAGGCCCTGAAGGGGCGGCCTGCCATCTCGGACTCGACCGGGGTGGGATCCTCGATGACGACGGCGATCTCCGAGTCGTGCGTGCCGAGCTGCGAGCGGTCGTTGAGGTTGGCCGAGCCGCAGATGACGAGGCTGTCGTCGGCGATGAGGAGCTTGGAGTGGATGTACAGCTCCTCGCTGACAAAGGCGTCAATCTCGGCCTCGGGCTCGCCGTTCCAGGGGACGCTGTGCAGGTCCGGGCCCGAGTCCATGTAGCACGCCGACACGGTGTCCCAGGTCTGGTCCGAGACGCGGGAGGCGGCCTCCTGGTAGCGCTCGTACTGGGAGTTGCGCTCACCCCAGCGGGCGCCCGTCTCCTCGCCGCGGCCGCCGTAGCCGGCACCGACAACGTCGTCGTGCTCGCGGCGCGCGTCCTCGTAGCGGACGCCGGAGCGCTGCTCGGCATCGGCCATGGTGGAGGAGGTGTTGATGCGGTCGTAGTTGCGGAGGTTGTAGAAGCGAATGTAGCGGCCTGGGTCCTGGATGCCGCCCTCAGAGCGGAGGGTCTCCATTATGGAGTGGCCGCCGCGCGAGATGGAGTTGTACTGGAACTCCATGATGGCACGTGTGCCAAGGGCGTCGTCGGACTTGAGGTCGCCGGCGAAGGCCGGGACCGCAGGCATCGCGACGACGATCTTGAAGTCCTCACCCTCGCGGTCGGCGCGGATGATGCGGTCCACCATAGCGCGGCCGATCTTGTTGGAGACGGGGTGCTGCTCGTTGCTGGTGGCCGTGATGAAGAACTGTATATCTGTTAGTATACAGGTGCGGAGGGTGAGGTTGGTAGAGGAAAGGGGAGGCTCGCCTGGTTCTCCATGTAGACAAAGTGCCGAGCGTTGGTGATGGCTTCGATGTAGGCATTTGCGATGGAGTGCTCAGTGTCGTGGCCCGAGGACCACTTGGTGCAGCTGTGCGACGGATCAGTACGTTGCTCTTCCGGTGAGTAAGGCGCGGGGTTTGGTACCTTCGGGTAAGCTGGATTTTGGCCGCGCGATCGTCGCGGTCAACTCTTCTAACAGGTCCGTTGTCCTGCTCGTCCTCGACCATCAGCCGGCTCATGCCGCGGTTGAAGCGCTCCGAGAGGTCGCCAAATAGGTGGCTGGAGTGGCCGCCGCCAAACAGGCCGCCGCTCTCCGTTTCATTCTCGGCAATCCGTCCAGCCTCGGCGTCGCCAGTGGCGCCTCCCAGAGCCTGGTACTTGCCAGGGTTCTTGATGCTGTACTTTTCGCCGTAGATGTAGTTCCTGTTCACCGTCAGTGGCTTGTTTCAGTCGAACAGGGAAGGTAGACCCGTGACCGACCATCTGTCGACAAAGTGATCCGCCAAGTGCTGGACGATGGCACCGTTCAAGCTGATGCTGATGTCAGACCAGCCCATTCTGGAGCTCTTGGTACGGTCAACTGATATCACTGTTAGCATACATGGCAGCATCAAGATCAGACGCGACTCACGCTTGTTCTGCTCCCAGTTGTCGACGTCGGCAAAGTCGTAGACGCGAGCGTTGTTGTAATCCTGGCCGGGGAAGACGATGGCATCCAGGTTGCCTGGGTGGGCATCCGCGATAGGGTGACCTGTTTCTCAAGTAAGAATGGCAAGTTGCCAAGGGCTCAATCGTGGCGATGGCCTACTGTTGGTGTCCCATCTTCCAAAGCCTATATTCGTCTTAGCAAGTCTCACGGACGACCGGGTGCATGACTTACACATATCGAGACCTCCCATGAAGGCGACCTTTCCGTCAATTAGGCACAGTTTCTCGTGGTGAGCCCAAAATAGGGTGACACCGTCGGAGGCAGTACCGTAGATGGCCTTGATGGCGTCGCCAGAGGCCTTGGATAAAGAGAAGGTGTTGATGCTCATGTTGGAGAAGTTCTGGCGCAGCTCAGCCTCAAAATCGTAGCCCGTCGGGACATGGTCAGGGTGCCGAAACACGCGAATGTTGGGATGAAGGCTTTCTAGGTAATTCCTTGTGTGCTTGGTGAGGATGTCAGCATAACTCGGGTGCTAAAAAATGCGTGTTACATGGTGTTGCTGATGTTGACTTACAGAAGACTTGACTATATTTTTTGGTGGCCTGTCAGCTTCAAATGCAGATAGAGAATCAGAGACGGGCGGGACTTACGTGTCAAGGCGGCTTCGACCTCTTTGTACACAATGATGTTAACCTTGACACCCCTCTCGGCGGCGGCCTTGAGCATGTTGTCGAGACGGTAACGCTCATTCTGGGAGGGAGGACGACGCAGATAGAGCTCGGGACTCAGCCACCAGTCGAGGATGTAGATGCTCTCACGGGCCTCTGCATGCACACACGGTCAGAGGCAGTCGCTGGCGCAGGTGAGGGATAATGTCGCATTCACTTACGCTCAATGGCTTCGGAGACAGCCCAGAAGTAGGAGCACCCGTCGACATACCACTTGGCGTTGCCGGTGCTCTGAGGAGCAAAAGACTGAAATCTGTTCTCGGCATGACTGACAGGATGGTGCTCGTGGCACTGGTGGCCCATGTGCGTGTGAGCGTGACGCTCATCACCGAAGATGGCGTCGATGCCTCGCTCCACCTTGCGAAAGATCTCCATGGCGGCCCGGGGAGCTGCTGCTCGGCTGGAAGTAACGATTTAGATGTGTAAGAGCCGGGGTGACGGGAAAATGGAACAGTAGCACAGAAAAAAGTAGGGAGACGTGTGGTTGACAGTGAGGGCGGAAGTGAGAGAGAGAGAGAGAGAGCACACAACGATGTATGTCGTTGACGCAAGCTTTTCGGAGGAGGGGGAACTAGGAGCTGATGCTACCTAGGTACTGCGTTGTTAAAGACCGCGATGAAACGGGGTCCAAAACGACGTCAGAGGGGTAAAGTGCATCTGCGTGGCACGCGAAGGAGGGGAGGTAACCAAGCGGACACACTCAATCAGCTAATTAGGTAGCTAGCTGGCAAATGCGGTGAGGGAGCCAGGAGTGCTAAGATACCTAACTAGGTAAGTACCTAGGTAGAGGTGGGATGGTCTGTGTGTCCGGGCTCCTGTTTGTGGGCTGGGACGACAGGAGTCACTCAGCAAGGTCCAGTTGCAAGAGCCTATCAGATGTCTATGGCACAGGGGAGTTGGGGTTTCGACTTCGTCCCAGTGGACAAGACCTGATTTGTTGGTGTGGGAACTTGATGGGGGTTACAATCATCGACCAGGACAACAGGGGAGGGGGCAGAGTGGGAAGCCGGCAACAAGGAATACGGGCGGTATGGATATGTTGAAGTGAACAAACAGGCACTTGAACTTGATCTATTCCTCGCGAATTCCATCTTCAAGCTAGTTCAACTTCAAGACAGATCATCCCGGATCCGACTTCTGGGATGAGTATGAGCGGCAGTAAGCACTCAAGGCAGGGTTAGCACCCGTCTCTGGCAAGTAAAGCACCGTGTTGACGACTGCTGCTTCTCTATTATCTAAAAGTAACGGATGAACGGGATATCCAAACAATATATTGCAAAAGTCAATGAGACCGAGATTGCAGGCATATATACCATTACGGCATGACAGTGCCCGTCACAAGTTGCCAACAGTTAGCGCAATATGCAGCGCCCCTCAAGCCTAGTAGTAGAATTCCTTCACATCCTTCCATGCAGGGGGTGGCCCGGGCGGTACATAGAACAGCGCTAACACACCCGACAGACAACCGAACGATGTCAGAAAAGAGCTTCTTCAGGCTGTTTCTCTCAGACCTGGACGACTTAACTCCACCAGAATTCCTTGGGTGACTGAGACAGCTGCACGAACCCACACTCTCCGAGCTCGCAACGCCCCGCGAAACCCATCTTTCCAGGACCTCCCGCACTGCTTCTGAGACCCTCCGTCAGTGTCAATTGCATCAGTCGACTCAAACGCAGCCCGTATCTCTCACGCAGCCTCAGCTGCCGCAACTTGCGGTGCCGTGCTCACACATTCATCCTAAGTTGAGTTGAGCCTTTGGCAAGCATCCCCTCACACTGTCACATTGGCCCCCAAGCCTATCAAGCTACGACTACAAGTTAGGAGCAAAAACCAACTCTGACTTGGGACGTAGTCTTGACACGTTGGATGAATTATTACATCTGATACCTCTTTACTATACGGCACCCCGAAAGAGGACAAATCCATCACAATGTCCTCAAGCTCGGGGACGCCGTACATCTTCTCGCCGGCAGATCACGGGCATCTGATTCCCTACCTTGCAGCATTGCACGCCGCCTGTATCAGCTCAGATCGAACTCTCGCCACCTTCTTACCACCGCTGTCACACGAAAAGCTACTGGGATGGTGGAAGGACCGCATAGCAGAGGTGACTGCTGGAACCCGGATAATGCTGATTCTCCTCGACGAATCCGAGCCGGGCAGCAAGCCCAAGGGAACCGAGCTCATGGGCGTGGTCATGCTGTCGATGCCCTACTCGGAGACGGGCCCGTTCCGCGGCTCCGTCGAGAAGCTCCTCATCAGCCCCAAATTCCGCCGGCGAGGCGGTGCTAGGACGCTGATGAGCGCATTAGAGGGCGAGGCCGTTCAGCGAGGACGAACGCTGCTGGTGAGAACCGAAAAAGGCGCTGTGTGTCCGGGTCCTTGCTGACAAGAGACGTAGATGCTTGACACGGAAGCTGGCAGTCCGGCGGAAGAGGTGTTCAATAAGCTCGGCTACATTGAGGTCGGGAGAGTTCCTAACTACGGCATCAGCCCTGCCGTTCCACGACAGCTGAAGGATGAGGTGTTCTTCTATAAGCAGCTCACAACCTAGGGATTCAGGCAAGAGGCTTTTGGCTCTGGCCGCGTCGAGATGGAGGCTGCCTCGGTTGGTTGCGGCAGAGACGAGGCAGCTCATATCGGTATTGGCGCCTATGCAGGGGACGGAGTTTGAAAATCAACCAAAGGTCTCCTTCCGGTGCTTGCATGAACGGCTTTTACGGGGCCTAGACATGTTTCAACGTGACAGGGTGAACTGAACTACACACCTACTTACCTTACCTTACTCCTCACCATTGTGGGTCATTCTGGAAAGGCTCGACGATGGCTTTCGGGCATGTTACGTCTGCGTTCCAACAAACGCCGATGCACGGGAAACATAATTACCCCGCGACGGGCATTACTTGGCAGAAGCCCAGGGACAGTAACCGTGAAGAATCCCCAGCCCAGGTTTGGCGCAAGCCGGGTGGCAGCTTATCGAGAACGCCGATCGCCGACGCCATCAACCCCACCTCGGGATCAACCGGGCGGCGCTATCTCACTTTTCCCACCAGGGACTGAACTACGCTTGGGAATGTGCGGAGACGGCGAAGCTCTTTGGCTGAACGCTGCTTTCGTGTACAAAGCCCGAAAGCACGCAATGCATCCACAACCAGGTACCATGAGTTCCCCAGAACTTTGTGTGTTGCGCACGCAGGACACATTACCCGGGCCAGCTTGGGGCGGGAGGGGAAACGTAAATAACTAGCGAGGGGTCTTGCTACTCTAACAATCCTGAGACAGGCTGTCCGTTGTTCTCGTCATCGTCATACCTCGTCGACCTGTTTATACCTGACTGTATCCCCAACTTGCTTAAATCACATCGAGGCACAACCGATGCTCATCATGTCCGACATTCAGAAAAATGTCGAGGCTGCCTCGGAGAGCTACTCGTCTGGCTTCGACAAGGGTCACCTGGCCTTGCCGCCGGCGAAGAAGTATCTCGTCCTGACTTGCATGGACGCCAGAATCGATCCGGCACGGGCATTCGGCATCGAGTTGGGCGATGCGCACGTCTCTAATAAGAAATCATGCGGGATGGCGATCCGTAGTTGTGTTGGCGGTTACCCCATGGTCAATTCCGATGGGCACGGTCGTTTAATAGGTTGAGCCTTCGCACTAGCTCTCAGACGACAGATAACCCAATGGTTCTCGGGCTTTAACACCGCAGGCTTCTGACCTGCCCTTGTGGTGTTTCCCCTTTGGACCATGACTCGTACGTTCCGACTCGCACAGTATACGTCAGGGCGTTCGATCAAACGCCTCTGGTTTCGACAGAGATCGGGCTGCTATCCGGCAAATTCCTTGCTAGGCAATCTGGTGCATTGATTATGGAGCGTAGCGACTTGGCACTCCTAATATATCGTTTGTTAACAGAAAAAGATGCCCTGTTTCTTGTACAATATGGTGTCGCTCACTGTGAAAACGGCAGGCTGGCGCTTCAGCTGTCGACGGACTCCGCAGCATTGTCATCTCGCAGCAGCTCCTCGGCACGCACGAGATCGTCCTGGTCAAGCATACTGGCTGTGGCATGCTGACTTTCAAGAATGAGGATGCGTACGGCATCGTCGAGAAGAACCTAGGGTTGGTAGCGCATAACACGAGCCAAGCCCTCATAACCGTTCACTGACGTGCTCCTAGTGCTGATGCTTCATTGGAGGCCAAGAACTGCATCCCCGACTTTTTGGCCTTCCCCGAGCTGGAGGAGGCCGTCAAGAAGGACATTGACTTCATCAAAGCCTCCAAGTTAGTGCCCGACAGCGTGACACTGAGCGGCTGGGTATACGAGGTCGAGACTGGAAAGACCAGGCGTGTTATCTGAGGATCAAGTGCAAGCGCAGAAGCAGTGTATCTAATAAGCGGATGGTGCCGGCAGTGGGGAGGCATTTTCTTCCTTCTTTTTTCTTTTTCTTTTCTTTTCTTTCGGTGTCTTGAGAGGTACTAGGCGTGATTTAGTGCATGCTTGGACGAGTTGAAAATATGCTGAGAAGGGTGGGAGGTTATGTATATTCCATTGAGTAATTTTTCAGAGCCCCGGAAAAAGTCTCGCTGACCAGCTGGCTGGCTTGCTGGCTGGTCGGTGATCTACACTAGATATCGAGAAAGTGGGTGAGAAGGCCCTCTCGCACATCGCCACAGGTGAAGTACTGGTAATAGTGTAGACGTGAGTGAACACGCCGCATGCCATGCTTAAAGTGGTGGGTCAGGCATCTCCCGCCCGTTTGGGTTTGTTGCGGAATTTCAGTGACACCGCGGCGCCTCGATTGGACGGCGGGGCAGACAGACATGGCAGGTTCTCCACCCCGCCTCTAGCGCAGAACCAAGATCTGGCGCCACGTCGTGATAGGCGTCGCGGCCTGAGGCAGTAAACAAAGGGAAGGGGGCCAAACGCGGTCCAGTCAGAGAAGGCCAGGAGTGTGTCGCGACTCCAGTCTGGCCAATTTGTTTACCTTGGGGCCAAACATCAACATCCCAAGGGTTGCTACCAACAACAAAACGTCTTCCCCCCATCCACTCCAAGGCCTCTGCACGCGAACCGCCCAACGCGACCATATATTTCCTCCCTTCAATGTAAAGAGACCTTGATCGAGCTGGCACACTCGTTCCCGTCCTTCCTCTCCTTTTTCTCAACACCGTTCGTGCCAATTGCGCGCCTGGTCCGCCCAGCTAGCCGTTTGGGAACAAATTCCCTACTTGCGTACTCCTTCACCTGTCGCCGAGCGAATCTGCAACCTTCACCACCACTGTTGAGTGTATCAACCACCGCTGCTTCCCGCCCATTCTCGTGTATCTCCCCGCGCCTCGGGGAGCGCAGAATCTTGTACAAGATGGATTCCGATGCCGAGTCCGTGTTTAGCTTAGGAGACGAGTCTGACTTTGCGCCCGCGGTATGCTTGCTTCTTATTTTTCCCTGGTCTTGACGGAAATTCCTGTCTCTGGGTGGACACTCGTTACTGCTACTGTACCCTTCTTTCTCGCCCCAACTGGAGGAAGGAGGTGTAGTCGCCCCTTCCTCTCGGTCATGAATTAGCCCCTCAATCATCCCGCGCACAACTATTCACAACAGCCTACCTTCCGTCTCGAAGGCTTGCCTGGTTGTCGCAAACTTGCGGCGAAAGGACTTTTTTCAGCCCCCAAGTCACATATCCGTATTTGCGCAATCCCTCCAACCCATACTTCTTTGGTTGAAACTTCCTGGGCCTTGCTTCATGACCTCCGCACAACGCACCCGGCACGATGTCTATGTTGCCGCCAAAGCCGGCAGCTCCTCGGACAAACACTCGACCAGATGCTGATTTATCGCAGAAGCCCAAGGCCAAGGCCGCCGCCGTCCCCAAGAAGGCGCCGGCGAAGAAACTGACGCAAACCACTCTGAAGACGAAGGCCGCGCCGAAGAAGCGGGCGAAGCCCGAATCCGACGACGATGATGGCGCATCCGCTTTCGACAGCACGCCCCCTAGTGCGAAGAAGCTTAAGAAGGCTCCCGCTGCCAAAAAGTCAAGCGGGAACCCTCTTGCGGAAATTGAAAACGACAGCATGATGGTCGACGATGAGGAGGAGCCCGCCCCGGGACCCAAGTCCAAGAAGACGGCCACCGATACCTACCAGAAGCTCACCCAGCTTGAGCATATCATCAAGCGTCCCGATACCTACATTGGATCCGTGGAGCCAACCGAGCAACCCATGTGGGTGTTCAACAAGGAGACGAATCTCATGGAATACCGCAAGGTCACGTACGTTCCTGGTCTCTACAAGATTTTTGATGAAATTCTCGTCAACGCCGCCGACAACAAGCAACGCGACGCTACCATGACCTACATGAAAATCTCCGTCGACCGCGAAGCTGGAGAGATCACCGTTGAGAACAACGGTAAAGGTATCCCGGTCGAGATTCACGGCAAGGAGAAGATTTACATCCCTGAGATGATCTTCGGTCACCTCCTTACTGGTTCCAACTACGACGACGACGAGAAGAAGACTGTTGGTGGTCGTAACGGTTACGGTGCAAAGCTTTGCAACGTCTTCAGTGAGCAGTTCACCCTCGAGTGTCAAGACTCCAACAACGGCAAGAGATACAAACAGATCTGGACCGACAACATGAGCAAGTGCGGCAAGGCAAAGATCACCAGCAGCAAGACTAGCGACTTTGTTCGAGTCACCTTCAAGCCCGACTTCAAGCGCTTCAGCATGACTGGCATCGACGATGACCTCGAGGCCCTCATCTACCGACGCGTCTACGACATGGCCGGTACCGTTCGGGGCATCAAGGTGCACCTTAACGGCACCCACATTAAGCTTGCTTTCAAAGGCTACTGCGAGATGTATGCCAAGGCCATCGCGAAGGAACGTGGTGCCGAGGAGGGTGTCGAGCCCAAGGTCGTTGTCGAAGTTGACAAAACCGACGCTCACCCCAGATGGGAGATTGCCTTCACCGTGTCTGACGGCACGTTCCAGCAGGTCTCGTTCGTCAACTCCATCGCCACCACGTCTGGTGGTACACACGTCAACTACATTGCCGACCAGATTACAGGCTCCCTGCTCAAGACCCTCGACAAGAAGAAGAAGGGCCACGCTCTCAAGCAGAACCACATTCGCAATCACATCTTCATCTTTGTCAACTGTCTTGTCAACAATCCCGCATTCACCTCCCAAACGAAGGAGCAAATGACTACCAAGGTCAGCCAGTTTGGTAGCAAGTGTGCCTTGACTGAGGAATTCCTAAAGAAGATCGCCAAATCAGACGCCATCCAGAACATCATTGACTTCGCTGAGAAGAAAGCCGACAAGATGATGGCCAAGAGCGACGGAAACAAGCGATCACGCATCAGCAACTCGAAACTGGTTGATGCTAACTTGGCCGGCACTCGCCATGGCCACGAATGCACACTCATTCTCACCGAAGGTGACTCTGCCAAGAGTTTGGCTGTTGCCGGCCGCGCAATTCTCGACCCCGACCGCATCGGAGTCTTCCCCCTTCGTGGTAAGATGTTGAACGTCCGTGACGCATCTATCGACCAGATCACGAAGAACCAGGAAATCCAGAACATCAAGCAGTTCCTCGGCCTGAAGCACAAGCAGACCTACACGGATACGAAGAGTCTACGCTACGGCCATCTGATGATCATGGCCGATCAGGATCACGACGGTTCTCATATCAAGGGTCTTCTCATTAACTTCTTGCAAGTTCAGTACCCATCCTTGTTGCAAATCCCCGACTTCTTCCGGGAGTTCATCACTCCCATCGTAAAGGTCTGGCAGGGACCCAACCCAAAGAAGCCGCTTCGCCTCAAGTCCTTCTTCACCCAGCCTCAGTATGAGGAGTGGAAGGAAGGTCACAGGAGCGAACTGGCCAGGTGGCACTACAAGTACTACAAGGGTCTGGGTACCAGTTCGAACGAAGACGCCCAGGTCTACTTCACCAACCTTGACGACCATCTCAAGGAGTTCGACACGATGAAGCCGGACGAGGTGGAGCTTTTCGACCTCGCCTTCTCCAAGAAGAAGGCGGACGCCAGAAAGGAGTGGCTCGGCAACTTTGTACCCGGTACTTTCCTTGACCACTCGACCAAGTCCATCACTTACACGGACTTCGTCAACAAGGAACTCATCCTCTTCTCCATGGCCGATAATATGCGATCCATCCCTTCCGTCGTCGATGGACTGAAGCCCGGTCAGCGTAAGGTCATCTACGCCTGCTTCAAGAGGAACCTGGTCAAGGATCAGAAGGTCGTTGAATTGGCTGGTTATATTTCTGAGCAGACGTCCTACCACCACGGTGAAGTCTCCCTTCAGCAGACCATCATTGGTCTTGCTCAGAACTTCGTGGGCTCCAACAATGTCAACTGCCTGGAGCCCTCTGGAAACTTCGGTTCTCGTCTTGCCGGTGGTTCGGACGCTGCCAGCCCTCGTTACATTCACACGAGACTGTCTCCGTTCGCCAGGAAGATCTTCTCCCCTCTCGATGAGCCCAACCTGGAGCCGCAGTACGAGGACGGGAAGAGAATCGAGCCCAAGGTCTATGCGCCAATTATCCCCATGATTCTCTGCAACGGTGCTGATGGTATTGGTACTGGTTGGAGTACCTCCATCCCCAACTACCACCCGATCGACATCGTCAACAATCTAAAGAGACGCATGGGCCGCCTCGATCCCTCGAACCCAGAGGATGCCGCCTTCCAGCCGATGATGCCTTGGTTCCGTGGTTGGAAGGGCACCCCCGAGCAGTCCGAAAAAGACCGTTACAAGTTCAACGGCATCTGCGAGATCGACGAGAGGACCGGCGAAGTCATTGTCACTGAGCTTCCCATCCGCATGTGGACAGATGACTTCAAGGCGAAGCTGGAGGAGGTCATCAGCGGCACCAAGGGCCCTGTTTGGATCAAAGATTACAAGGAGTTCAACGACCACAAGAACGTTCACTTCGTCATTCAGATGGACGACAAACACACCAAAGACATCTTGGCGGACGGTCTCTTGGAGCGCTTCAAGCTCAGCAAGCAGATTGCCACCTCAAACTTGGTCGCCTTCGACACTCGTGGCCAGATTCGCAAGTATGAAAAGGTTGAGGACATTCTAGAGGAGTTCTACAACTACCGTCTGGACATGTACGCCCAGCGCAAGAAGCACTGGCTTGGTGTATACCATTCGGACTTCAGGAAGCTCTCCGAGCAAGCCCGTTTCATCAGGGAGATTATTGAAGGAAAGCTTGTTGTGGCCAAGAAGAGGAAGCAGGTCCTCGTCGAGGAGCTCGCCAAGCGAAAGTACGAGGCCTTCCCCAAGAACAAGGACAAGAACGTCAAGAAGAAGTCCACAGACGAGGACATGGAGGGCAACGATGAGGATGAGGAGGATACCGACGAGCAGACCAACGGCTACGATTACCTGCTTTCTGTTGGTGCCCCCTGACCTGACGCTCAATTCAGTTACTGACCATCTTGACTAGATGCCCATCTGGTCTCTGACCTACGAGCGCCTCGAGAGACTGGAGAGGCAGATCGAGAACAAGAAGGCCGAGCACGACGCCCTTCTCGCCCTCGGCGAGAAGGATCTCTGGATCCAGGACCTCGACGACTTCGTGGCCGAGTGGGAGAACCAGATGGCCCTAGACGCTGAAATCCAGACCAATATCCGCAGACTCGGTAGGCGTGTGTCGAAGAAGATTGGTGCTGGTAAGGGCCGCAAGGCCAAGAAAGACGACGATGATTACGCGCCTGGAGAGAAGAAACGTGCTGGCGCCAAGGCCAAGGCCGCTCCCAAAGTAACGGAAAAGGCAGCTGAGAGATTTGCCGCCATGTTTGACAAGGCAAAGGTGAAGCCCAAGAAGGAGGAGGCCGAGTCTGACGCTTTCTCGGACGATGACTTTGCTGCTCTCGGTCGCAAGGGCGCCGCCAAGCCAGTGGCTCCTAGCGAAACCCGCCCGAGGGCGGCGGCAACCAAGAAGAAGCCCATCTACACCTTGAGCGACTCCGATGACGAGGACTTCGCCAGCCTGGACAAGAAGAGTACATCAGTCCCGGCAGAGTCAGCGACCGAGGACAACTCCTCGCAGGCCCAGAAACCAGTGGCGGCCAAGAAGCCCCCACCCCGTGTGGAAGAGTTGGCTAGTGACGACGATTTCGAAAATCTGGGAAGCAAGAAGAGCTCCAGCGTCAAGCCCGAAACGAAGCCCGCAGCCAAGCCTGCCGCGAAGCTCGCATCGGTCGAGCCTGAAGCCAAGGGCAACGCTTCTCGTACGCAACGAGCTGCTTCGACGAAGAAGAAGTACGTTCTTGACGAGTCGTCCGAGCTGTCTGAGGACAATTTCCAAAGCGTCGAGGAAAAGAGCGCCTCTCCCGAGCCGGCACCCGCGAAGCCCTCAGCTAACGGCAGGGGTCAACGAATTGCTGCGACAAAGAAGTCCAAGTACGTCCTGGACGACGAGTCTGAGTCTGAAGCAAACGACAGCCAGATCGGAGACATTGGTGCTCTGGTTCGAGGCATCGGCGCGCCCAAGACAGATAAAGAGAAGGGTCGACTTAGTCTGTTTGCCATGAACCGCCCTGACGGGCGCGACTCCACTCTGCCCAAGATCAGGACGAAGGCGTCAAGAAACTTTGACGACGATAGCGTCGACGACACCAACTACGAGATGCTTGCTCGCTCGTCTCCCCACAAGACCTTTACCAAGGGCGATGAAGTTGATAGCTTCTTGAGCGACGACGGTGCCCCTGCTACCAAGGCTTCCAAGACATCCGCCGCCAAGGAGTCTAAGGCTGCCGCTGCTGCACCTGTCAAGAAGGCTCGTGGCCGTCCTGCGGGAACGAAAAACAAGCTCAAGGATGCCGAAGCAGCACCTGTGCCCAAGGCCAAACCCAAGGCGAAGGCTGCCTCCAAGCAGACCACCCTCTCTCCCGCTGCTAAGGCATACGCCGCAAAGAAAGCGACCAAGCGTGTCTTGAGCGACGACGAAGACGATGACGCGGAGGTGGAAGAGGCCGAGTCTCCGCCTCGCCCGGCTGCTAGAAGCAGACCTGGACGAGCGGCAGCGACCAAAGCGAAGGCTAAGCCAACCTATGTTATCGACGACGACAGCGAGATGGATGTTGACGAGCCAGAGAGCGACGACCCCTTCGACATGGATAGCGATTAAAGGGGATAGAGCGTGTATGTGCTTTTGGTGTGTGTATGTTTGTGCATGCACACGGGATTGTATCGGCGAACGGGGGGGATTACGGCGGGTGGTTTCACAAAAGGGCAGGCATTACCACTGCCGTTTTGCTTTCCTTTCCTCGAACCAGCTTTCTTGCTCTTGCTGTTTGGGAAACATCTTATTCATTTTTTGCTCCATTCCGGGTTGAGATGGCCTGTTACTTGCTGTGTGTGATATATCTATATCATGTTCCTACATGGAACGGGAAGGAAGGGCCAAACCATAAAAGTAGCTATTCAGAGTCCTCAATATTTCCATCTACAGTGTACCTTCGCTCGACCGGCGGTGATTGCTGGGGCCTCGCAACCTCTCTGTGCTTGCCATTGAACCAACTTCTCGAACGAGCCGTGCTGAGCATACGTAAGGCTTGCGGGGCTGTCACTATCTTCCCCGAGCCTGGCTTCGACTCATGAGCCGGCACGGGTGAATCGTGCACCCCCCCCAAGCTCCACTCGACCTCGACCCATTCATCTGGAGGCTTTGGCAAGCGTTGGTTGACCAGGCCGAGGGAGCTGGGCTCGGAACGTGCTGGTGCAGATCGTTGACCAGTCATCCCATGTTTGTTGGAGCTGCTACTGTCTGCCCCAATCTGTCTTGGTGGATCATTGTTACCAAGCCACGGTGCTCTCAATACAACGTTGTAGCTACTGCTAGCCTCGAACACGCGGGGCTCATGTCATATACACCCACATCACATTTGGGAATTGTGGGAAACTGGTTGTAGAAACAGCTCGATTCTCTGCGTCCCCTAGGCAATCTGATGATCCCCCTTTCGCCATAGTCGCGTGCCATGAAGAGACGACTAGAAAAACAAATAAAACAGAGGCCAATACACTACATGCGTACACGATAATTCGTTCCACGTCCCTTGCCTCCGCTTGGAGACACTGTCTGATATTATCACTTTCGTTGCTGACTATGTGCAACTAAAACTCCTTGCCAGAACCAACCCGCAAACCAGACCACACGCCAACAAAGCCGCAGAGAGAAAGGTGGTGCGCGTGATCTCGTTCATGTTCGTCATGAGTCGTTCCGTTGTCGTCGAGCGAGCAACATACGACGTATGCCTGCTCAACTGTGTACACTCAGAAAACCAGTCGAACGATATGTTTAGGAGGCGACCATGGGGGTCTGCTCCTCGGCATCCGGGACAACCGGCTCGGGCTGGATGTCGGATTTGGGAGCAGCAGGGAAGTCCTGCTCCTCGACGGAGGGGCGGACGTCGGCGGGAGTCTGGGAGGGAGGGGCGGGGGCGCGAGCAGCCTCGGGAGAGGCGGAGCGGCGGCCGAGCAGCTGCTGAGCCTTGGCAGTGTAGTCACCCATGTACTGCTTGGTGATGTTTGTGGCCTCGGCGGTGTGCTTGCTGGCGACGGTGCGGAACTGGTTCGTCTGTTGGGTGATGACCTCGCCGGCGCGGTTGAGTTGGGCGTCAATGAGCTCCTGGTTGGAGGTGTACAGGAGGGGGACCATGAAGAGAGCCGTGGTGGCGATCAAGGAAAGGCCCCAGAAGGGAACGATCTTGACAAGGTAGTAGGCGATGAAGGAGCCGATGAAAGCCTACAAGGTGTGTCAGTCGCGATGATGTCAATTATTGTGGGGATTGTCACGCGAGCAACTTACAGCGGCAGAAGCACCAACGTTCTCGGCGAAGACGATGCGCTGGGCCTCAATGATGAAAAAGTTGACGAGCTCGTGGACGTCTCCTATGGCGGCATCGAGCGTCTCTCTGGGGATGACGAAGTAACGTCTGGGGCGGAGCTGGGTAGCGAGGCCGTTGTTGAGGACGAGCTTGCCGGCAAGCTCGGCAAGGACGGTAGTGCCAAGCACCATCCAGGTGAGCTTCAAGCTGTATCGCAAAACATCGAGGTAGCGGGCAGCGAAGATGAGGGCGACGATGGAGCTGTAGGCGATGGCCGAAGCACCTGTAGGCTGGCTGTCAGTCGGAGACCGGAATATCAGGGAGGAGGGGGGCCGGGCTAGCACATACGAGGGTTGTTCCACGAGATAAGCTCCGAGAAGAAGGAGTGGTAGTGAGTCAAGGGCTGGCCAGTGGCAGCGGGGTTGGAGGGCGTTCTGCGAGCGGCGGCAAGGTTGCCGAGCTCGGTGGTAGTCTTTGCGGACTGGTCCTTAACACTCTGAGCGACGGGACCTGGAAAGAAGAAATGTGGTTAGTATTTGGTGATGATGCGCCACAAAGACGTCATCGGGTAGAAGGCAAAAACAGCATACCGTTAGAAACCTGCTGGTAGGCAGCGGCAGCATCTGAGGAGGGATTGTTAGCTTGTCGGGGTCGTTAGAGGTGAAGACGCGAGGTTGAAACACTACTTGCACACATTAGCCGGAGGTCCCTGAGGGAGCGAGATCTGTGACGCGGAAGTCGCGGGATCTCTGGACTGAGCAGCAACGACGTACCTTACTCTCCTTGGTGGCCTGGATGTAGCTGTTACCGTTGGCAGAGGGAGCCGTGGTAGGCGCGTCCGGGAAGTCAGACATTATGGAAGATGGCGACGAAGCTTTTGCTGCGATGTGTGTTGGTGCTTGTGTTTGGGGAGAGTTGGCGGTCGGTGGGAAGTGGTGTCGTGTGATGCCGGTACCTACTTGAAAGCTAGGAGCGTTTCAAGAAATCGGAGCCTGCGTGGGGGAGGATGGGTTGGAGAGGGATGTTTTTTTTTTTGGTTTCGGGGCAGGAAGCAGGCAGAAGCTGAAGCTTGGAGAAGATGTTGAGATTAAAAAAGAAGGGTGCGAGAGGTGTTGTAGGACGAGAGAAGGCCAGGTGTTAGGATTGTGTGACGATGTTTAGGTCTGGAAGCTCAGGCAGAATGAGATAGGGGAGATAAAACCAGAAGGGCGAGGAGGGTGTGGGTGGGTGTGGGTAAGAAGAGGATAGTGGTAGTAGCAGGTGGAAGGCAGGGGAAATAAGGGAAGGGAAGAGGGAAAATAAAATAAAAAAGACTTTGTGTGTGGTGAGTGGTGCGGCGGCGGCGGTACTTGCTCTGGGTATGAGGTGAGTGCTGTGTGATGCAAATGAAGATCAAAAGCAAGGAGCAGGAGGAGCACAGCAAAGCCTACTGGGGGCTGGCTGTCCGTGCCAACGCCAGGCCGGGCCGGGCCAGGCCAGGCCAGGCCAAACCTGACCAGCAGCAGAGCAGAGCAGAACAGAAGAGCAGACCTCACACGCTCTCTTTCTGAGCAAAACAAAACAAAGCAAATCAAAGCAACACCTCATCGTCCCCTGTGTCTGTCTGCCTGTCTGGGATGAAGCAGTGACGCTCTTGTCTCCCAAACAGGGCCTCCCAGCCGGCAAAGGCCCCACGTAGTATCCGTACTGAAGTGGTGACCACGGCGGCTTGCACTCTTCAGGAGGAGCTCCTGTCCCTTTTTTTTTTGTCGTCCTATTTGCTTCCTGTTTGTTCTCCTCTTCCGTCAAGTTTCCTCTCCCTCTTGCGCGTCCATTGCCTCATCTCATCCTTGCGGTGTGGTGGTTCACCTCACCCAACCAAGCATTACCTCACCGGTCCAACAAGCCCAACCTGGCCGCCCTTGAACTCCATCCATATGCACGCCATCTACTGCACTAGGTACTACGGCAAACACACACGCACCAATGACTGCAATGGTGGAGAATGCAAGAACATAAGGTAGGTACACGACGCAGAAGGAAGAGAGAGACGCGTGAGAGAGACTGGAAAAAAGAAAAAGAGGGTCCCTGTTCAGGCTGTGGCTAGTGCCCGTCCCGGCTTGTTTGCGGATTGATGACGCAAAAGCTATGCCACAGCATCCAATCGCCCGGTACCAATCGCCTACCTATCTCTGCCGGGAGTACTTGTACTTCGTCTGGCCCAATGACGGTGTTGTCGCCTCGGTCCAGCCAGGTGAACCCCTCCTCCCCAGTCTTCGGCGTCATCCCACAGTAGCAGCGTCGCCGCTAGCTATGCGGCCTGCATGTGACGTCCTTTGCATTTCATACACACTCTTTCTCTCCCTCTCTCTCAGCCCAACGGGCAAGTACGTATCTTTTGTACGTATAGGTAGCTGCAGCAGAGAAGAACACCATAATTATTGTTGACCATCTCATCATGGGGTGGCTCAAGCGACAGGGGGGGCTTGCTCGTGTGCTCGGAATCCTGAAACCATGGCATTTTGCTGACATCTGATGCTGCCTTCTTCGTCTCGCCTTGTGTTTTGTTCCCTTTCGCCTCATGCTTCAGACTAGCTTGTGTGTCCTCAAGCTCCTACCTATCCGTTATCCAGCACATCACCCCCTCCGTAGTGTACAAATAGGCAGACGATGCGACGCCACCGCACCTATCCTGCCAATGGCCATGCCGTCCTATTTTCACCACCTCCACCTATCGCGCCCGTGATACATTGCCTAAAAAAGGTGGGAAAACAGACCGCCTCGACTATGTATCCCAGTTAGTCAGCGGACGGCACGGAGGGAGAAAGACGCCTGGTCCTAGCTTTTCAAGCTACGCCATGCACACACTGTTCAGCTCATGACCCGCCCCCTCGAGCCCCTCCTCCTCAGCAACGCGCCACGACAACCTCGTGATATCATGTCACCTTGGTCTTCCAAGACACCATCACCATCACGGCGAGCGTTCTCCCCCCTGCGTTGCCGGGGGCCCTAAGCTTCGCAGCTTGGGGTACCCCGGGGGCATTCATCATTCGCTCACTGCCAACGCATCGCTTTGCGTTTCCGCCGACGTGCCTGGCCGGCTGGTCAACCCGATGCGAGGGAGCTAGCTACGGGCCATCAGACGAACCATGATGCCAAACACAGCCAACGGGCACGCCGCGAACTGACAACTGTCTACCTTTACCTCGTAGACATCTCCGTAGTCTCCCACGCCGTCAACGCTGCCGCGGCCACCCGAGGTATCCCGGCCCGCCGGACGGAGGGGGTCCCGGGGGCTGCTCACCCTGCGGGAACAAGTGCGTGCGTCAGCCTCTTCTTCCTGCCTCCCCTTTGACAACTGACATTTGGACGGGGGGCTGGAAACGGAGCAAACAGCAACGCCAACGCCAAACGTCAACGGCTTTAGCTCGGCTGGCTGGCAAATGTCCACTTATCCTCCTCCTGCCCGCCCCTCCCTTGTGAGGGTTTACGAAACCTCTCGGCCACCAAGGTCACGACCACCAAACCAAGCCAAACTACCCGGCCCCTCCCGCCAATCTCACTCCGAAAAAAAGCTTGCCCCCTACGTGTGTCACAGCAACCTCATAAAGTGTCGGGGGGGGGATGACCGCCGAGCAGGAAGGGGAGAGAGGAGACAGACTCATTAATCAAATACTTCTTAATCAATAGTGGAATACACATCTACACACTATTCTGGAGAACCCACTCCTACTACAGCTACGAAGTCCGGGAAATAATACGTAGGTGTGCCCAGACCAGCAATACCCTGGGTCCAACTGCCAGCTGGCGCCACACTTTTTTTTCTTTTTCTTTTCTTGTTCTTCTGGTCTGGCCCCAAGCTTTCACATGCAAATCGCACGTACCATGAACAACAACCCCCCCCCCCCCCCCCCCCGACTTTGAGTTTGGAGCACACCGCCCCGCAGTGCACCACCCATCCGCCTCTCTCTCTTTTTTGTCTCTTTTTTTTTTTTTTTTTTTTTGCATGTCTCTCATTCTCCCACAACGCACCGCCACAACGAGGTTTGGGGGTCCAGACATGGGAGGGAACGCAGAGGCCAAGGGGTCAAACAGTTGTGACGGGGGCCACTCCACCTCAGAAAAACAACAACCGGCCACCCAAAGTGCAACGTAAATGTTACCGGGAAAGAGTGATCCACGGTACTGCCGAATCGGGCAACCGAAAAAAGGGGTTGACGGACCCGGCCCACCTAGGCCTGGATTGATGCTCATGGGCCATGCCATACCTACTACCTACACGCGCTGATGGCTGATATCGTGACGGGTTAAGCTACCCAGGTATACTCCGTAGCGCGTGGGCTGGTTTTGAAATGCTCCCTTACCGCATATGAACCTGGGCAAAAGAAGCGCACGTTCAAGCTCTGGAGTATTCATTCCACCTCGTATTAGTAGCTTCATAACTAGGACTTGGCATGCCTTCGATTCTTCCTTTCAAGAAAAAAAAAAGTTACTACTAGTAGTGTTTCTATAGTGTTTGCCTGTATTTTAACCTCGGCGATCCCAGAGCGAGAATGAGAAGGGGAAAAGCTCCGGTCCATCTGCCCATGACACATGTAATCGCATATGGGGCCGGTGTACATTAAATTACAAGTTCATGAAGGGCCCGAGACGAAACCGTTTCCGTCTCTTCCCGGGGGTTGTGAGGAGCGCCATCTCCCCAGCTCAGATGCCACATTTCGTGGGTAAAAGGAGGAATAAAAGTGAGTAAACAATCTTGAATGCCAATGCAATGGGGGTCGTGTGTGAGAAGAAGAAAGAAGAGAAAAAAGATGCCCCCCCTCCCCCGCCCCCAACGTGAAGAGCTTACCCAGCTTCCACGGATGCAGCATGCGTTGGTCTACTCCCTCTTGGAATGCGGACGACAAGGCAGTGGCGGCGAGGCGACGGGTCTGGTACCCGTCACCGAATAAAACCAGAATGCAAGATGCGCTAGATACTCCGAATGCTTCTCTAGTCATGTGTTGAAACGCCAATATCGTCATTAAGTAGTCGATCCGACTCCCCGTCTATCTCCTCCAACCCCAGAAGCCTCCCGCCGCAGTCGTCGCGGTCGCAGCTGTATTCGTCGCCGGCGGCGCGGGTTTGGCGGGCTCTGTAGCTGCACCCGTGAGGCGACCGAGGACGCCCATGGCGGCCGCCGCCGCGGCCGATCCTGTCGCTGGCGGTGGTGTCTCAGCGGACGCGAGACCATACGCCTTGCGCAGGCTTTCCAGCTTCTGCTTCGTCTCTTCGGCCTCTTGCCTGGCAATAGCTTCGGCGGTCTTGGCCTGGACGAGCTCCAGCAACAACGCCTCGTGTTGGTCGTCCGTTGGCGGCGGAGGACGCGTCTGGGTGGCTGGTGGAGGGGTCGAGTCGTGCGGCTTCGGCAGGGATGACGACCGCTTGTTAAAGGTCGATCCAGCTTGAGATGGGGTCGACTTGCTCCTACTAAGCTTCAGCTCTCTCAAGCCGCTAGCGCCGCTCGTGGAGCTCTTCCGTATGAGCCCATCGCTGCCCTGGTGAGTGTTGCTGTCCGCCTCAGCGGCTGATGCCCGCGCCCTCATGTTATGTATCTGCTTTTCGAGCCGCTGTTTGTCCTGGTGCAAGATGCGTGTATGCGAGTGTGATTCTCGCACTTGGTCCTTCAGGGCGGATATCTCCTGGTCCAAGTCGAGAATCTTTCGGTTGTAGTCCTGGGATTGCGATATCGCACTGGCGAGCTGGTCCTTGAGCTGCTGCAATTCCTGTTGCATCTGCGCCGTTGACCCGCCCCGGGACATTCTGCGATCGCCGCTGCCATGGCGCCCAAACCTTTCCTCGACGGCGTCGAGGAGCTGCGATAGATCCTCTGGCAAAGGGCTACCCTGCTCGTCAGTCTTGGGAGGAGTGGACACGTCTCCCTGGCCTCCCTCGCGTGCCTCAGCTGCAGAGTCATCGGCTGCTGTGACAGTATCGACGCTCGCGTCGGTACTGACGGAGTCGTTGCTGGCCTTCTTGCGCAAGCCGTCTAGAAGCGACCGGACAGCCTGCTTGTCCTCCTCGCGCTGTTCCCTTTCTTGTTGTAGTTCGCTCGCGAGCTGTGCGTGGTTTCGTTGCAGTTCGGTTAAGGCGGTGAGAAGGTCTTCGATCTGGGTGTGCAGAGCATTCTCCTTATTGTTCTTGCCGCCGGTGCCGTACAATGGCTTGCCGCCAGGGATGGGCGTCGATTCGCGGATGGATGAATTATCGTCGGTGTTTGATGAATCTCGGGACACGGTGGTGGCTTCGGTGGATGCGGAGCTGAGGACGCTAACGGAGCTGGCTTCCATCGAATTGAGGGTGGAGGCCAGGCTCTGCTTCGAGGTGGTCCTGCGCAACATGCTCAGAGGCCGTGACGGAGCGGTGAGGCCCGGGCTAAGGGTGGAGGAGGACTTCGGGGAGATGATGGTGGAGGAAGCCCAAATGCGGCCGAGGAAGCGGGAGGCTGCAGTGGTAACGTCGGAGGAACGCGCCGCATTTGCGCTAGCGATCTGTGCGTCTCGGTACCCCTGTTCCAACTGGAGCAACTTCTCTCGAGTGACAACGCCCGATAAACTAACAAAATCCTGGACAAACTCGTCTGCGTTGTAATGGTAACAATCCCAGAGCCCTCTCGAAAGGAGGAGTTGCATTACATCCTCGAGCTCGGTGCATGCCAGGATACGGGTTTGGTTCTTCTGCATCAGGGACAGGGCGACCCGCATAAGGGTCTCCGGGGCCCCCTCGGCAAAAATCACATCGTAGATGCGAAACAGCATTGGCAGGGGGCACGTTACGGCGAAAAAGCTGAGGAACCACTGTGAAACGTACGCTGGATCGACTTGTAGGTCCTCCAGGTGGTTCGACACTGGTGTCATATGTTCTCGCAGAAGCTCCCGAAACTGGTGGATGCGAACATGCAGTCCTGACAGGTCTGGCAAAAAACAGCTCCGTAAATCGTATCGTTCCATCAATCTAACCATACAATGTTAGCTTCGACGTTGCGTTTGCCTCCGAAACCTTGTTTTCGTTGGTGTTTTTTTCTTCTTCTTTTCTTTTCGAATGATGTTTTGGACATTGTTTCTTTTTTCTCGGGTAACACTTACCGAACCAACACGCAAAACGCTTGCTTGTCAGGCATGTGCATCAACAGCGGACCAACCAGAAATGCCAGCCCCTGGCAGTATCCAATCTTTGTATCGTAGAGACTGAAGCATTTCAACACCTTGCCGAGCATGCGTTGTCCTTCGCCTTCAGGGTCGCGGAACATATCGACGCCAGGAAAGCTCCGGCCGAGGTCTTTGCCGATAATGGGCTCGTAAGGGCTCGACTCCCCACTAAACCGGTCGTATTGCTCCTCCAACGACGAGTCACGAGCGCCCGACATGCTTTGCCATACGACCCCTCGCAGGGGGGGAGGGATGCCTTTGCGAATCTTGTTCGAGAGGAGAGTCGGCAACCGAGCCGCCGTCTGTTGGTAGTCCTTGACCAGCGCAGCGTAGAACTCGAGGTCGGTCATCGGTGGCGGCGGGAGCATCGAGTATCGCAAGGCCGGCGGCGTCGGTCCGTGGACCATGTGTCGTAATTGTGCCATTGACGGCGGTCTGGGGCGATTGGAAGCGGCGACTTGTTCAACAGCTTGTACTTTGATGCTCTTGGGGTTCGTAGCTAGCTTGTCGTTTTCCTGCTCCAGCATTGCAAGCAACATGGCTGTCGACTGTTAGGATTTGTTAGCCTTGTTGAGCTTGAGGCGGAAAGCAGCAGAAATGGCGTTTTCTTACTCTGTCGGTGTCTGCGTCCCTAGGCTCGTTTGCTTCTGATTTCTGCAATTCGTCCCAATTCACCTCTTCGTCGTCGTCTTCCTCTTCTTTTTCTTCCGCTACTTCTCCTGTTTCCTGTCTCTGCTGCTCGGTGATAGTCCGGCGCCGAGGCTCTTCCCGGCTTCCTTGAGCTTGTACCGAAATCACCTGGTCTTCCTCCACTTCGTCGACCTCCTCGCAGTCCACGAGCTCGTCCTGGAGATTCTTATTGGCGGTCGTGTCAGGTAATGGCGTAGCTGGGTCACTGGGCAAGCTGTCGTCGGCGTCGGTATCGGGCGTGTCCTTCACCTCGGCTTCCTCTACCTCTTGAACAGGATGTGGTAATTTTTCGACTCGAACTGTGCTGGGTCTCCTCCTTGGAAGTGAATCGGGGCCGGCGCTCGTGTTGACGGTCAGGACAGGCGGCTCGGACAGCCTGACGGTAACCATGGAATCATGGGCCGGCATCTTGGGCGTCTCCCGGTGGTCGTCGTCGTCGTCGTCGTCGTCAGTGGCGGCGGCGGCGGGTCTGGGTTCGGTTTTGGCATGTGTTAGCTCGGTGTTGTTTTCCACTTCATGATGCCGTTGCTGCAGCGCCAGCTCCATGGCCAGGCCAGCCCCTCCAACGGGTTTGTTGGTGTTTCCCGGCAGAGAGGGAGAGAGAGTAACCGCAGCAGTGATTGGAATGTGGACTCGTCGAATGTGTCCAGAGGTAGGACAGTCAACGACGAGTACGCGCAACTGCGGCCCTGCTTCCACGACTCATAAATCGCAGGATAATCTCGCCTCGCCGTGTTCGAGGGCTCGACGTGTGGGAAGAGTTCGAGATCGGGCTGTATGGTCTTCTTTGTTCCTCGTCTCTTTTCTTTTTGTTCGATTCGCGAGCCGACGGGAATCGGTCGTACCCAATACGTGGCGATAGGGAGCGCGAGGTCAGGCGACACAATGCAGCAAAGCAAGCAATGCAGATCAGGGATGTGCGACAAGGTTGGCAGCCAGAGTGTGGGTGGTGAGGGGTGCGTGTGTGACAGATGCCAATGGAGAGTGACTTGGATGTCTTGGGTGAGGTAAATGAGAAAGACAGAAATGAGTGTGTCAAATGTATATGCGTGTGTGTGTGTGTGGCTTTGGTTCCGAAATAAATTGTCCAGCAGTTTCCTTGCACGCTAGAACGAAGGTGACAAGGGGTCACCAATAACAAGACCAAAGCAACACCCCCTCCAAACGAAGTCCTTGTAGACTGCGACGCTCGGGAATAGAATGGGCGGCTTACGTTAGAGCTGCTGGAGGGAGGCAGAGACAGAATGGCCTCAGGGTCGAACGGCGCAAGAGGGGATTGGCCTGGTTTGGCGCGTCAAGTGCTGCCACTGTATTTCTCGTTTCATCGAGGGGCCGAAGACGCTGAAACGCTGGGGTGGGCGGCTCCCGGGTGGGCTCTTGACTTGGGCTTGACTAGCACTTTCCACCGACAGCAGCAGTGTCTGGATTGGGAGGAAGGGCCGCCCTTCTCCTGGCGGCCCCTTCCAACCTCAAAGATGCTCGCTGCCAAACACCTTTCGGCTACGGCCCGCGGTGACTCTCCGGATTCGGTGAGGGGGCGGACGGCCGCCTAAGCTAAGAACGGTGGGCCTATCGTATGTGTCCAGACGTCACTGAGCTCTGGTAGAGTGCTCCCAAAAGCCCCCAGGCGCTCCTCTAGCGCAAGTAACACGGATCGTGGGTGGGCTTTTGAAGCCCGATTGGTGTAAGATCACCGCGTGTGCTACACTACACAGAACTTGGTTCCTGTCCGAGAAATCCAGGGCTTGCTTGGCAGAGGTGGCTGTGGCTTGTCGGGAGGGAGGGAGAGAGAAGGAGAGAGAGAGAGAAGAATGCGGGATGTGCAACAGGGGAAAGGGAGAATTGGTTGATCAGACGAGATTGGGTTGCGTTGCCGCTGGGGATTGGGCTAATCTCGACTGGTCTGGAATGAATCTAGTGGTCAAGGAATGCCGTCGTCCAGGAGAAGAGGAAGAGGGCAGAAAACGTGCAAGGCGTCTGTCTCCTTGATTCCAGTCTTTCTCAGACAGCAAAGATATGTTTCAAAATACTTCAACTACCAGCAGCGGCATTCATCTGACATCTGACACTCAATGACAATCAATGCGGTCGGTGTGCAGCTGCTTGCTCGGACTTTCCGCCGGGCAGGTAGGTTAGGCTAGATGGGACGACGGGAACGAGCACAGCAGCAAGCTCCGAGTTTGATTGATTGACGGCAGCATTGTCATGTGAGCCGAACGGCAAGAGAGGAACGTTAATTTCCCAGAGAGGCTTGACTGCAAATAAACAATGCGGCACCGAGAAATCACACGCCGACGCCCATTCGTTGTGCCTCTGAATAATCTACAGCGACCACCTTGCCAAGAAGGGGACGGTCACTCGACTGCTACCCCCACGACGCCCATGTCATCTCCTCTTCTTCCTCAAGAGTCCACAATCGATATCACCATCAAGCCAAGCCCCCCCTATTTCTCGACATCAAACCAACCCGTTCAGCGCCAACGACTCCTGCACACACCACTGGCCTGTCATAGATGGTCGTCGGTGCAAGCCATGGCGAATCAAATTTCGGTCGAACGAAAACAGCAGCAGCGCCCACATGGGGCGAAAAGGAGATGGAAATAGGATCGATTGAGGAAAATGGAAAAGAAAAAAAAAAGAAAAGAAAAAGGGTAACAAAGAAGCACGAATCAAAAGGCAGCCACTTCCTCCTGCAAGGTACGGTACAGAAGTCCCCGTTGGTGCCCCGCCCCTCCAACCACCCGCCCAATCATGTCCCGCTCCCCCTGATCAAGCTTCCCGCGTGTGCTGCACAACGACAGGGCCGCAACCTCCATTCAGAGTCTGACCGGCGACCCCGACCCGGGTTGCAAACACTTGAGATTGACCACGTCGGCGGCCCGCTTCCTTACTCGTCTCAATCATTCTCTTACTTACCAGGTATTACGGATACATACGGATACACAGTACCCAACCGCATCCGCAGCCAGAGCCCAACCCCGATGGCGAGTGGGGGACGGGACTGGAGCATGTGTGTCTGCCATTTGACGCCTTCATCCCTGCGACGACACATGGCTGGACGGGGCAGAGAAGGATCAACTCACCACCCCCAGTGCCTTGCGACGCGCTCTGGTTTCGTCATTTCAGGCCTCCTCCCCCCAATCTTTGAATCCTGGATTTGCTCTCCAAGTTGGCAATTTCGCAATGATAGTCAAGGGGGGAGGGGGAGACAGCAGTGCCAAAAGGCGGCCCACAGACGTTTGTTACCAATACCGTCCGCGCGGGACTAGAGTACACAGACGGACGAGATGACTCTCCCTACTGAGTATGCCACCCATATCCAAGCGCGTCTTTGTGATCAATCCTCTCAGCCCTCTCCTCCCATGGGATGGCGAGGTTGACCTCGCTTCCGTCTTGCTATCGGCGTCTTCTGACCCGAGCTAATGACAAGTTCCCCGGGGATGCAGATCGCACCATATTCGGCGGCCGATGCTCGGAAGCTGGTCTTTTCCAATCTTGCATTCATTCGCCTTGATCATCTTACAGGCATCGCGCCTCTCGCAGGTATATAACACAATATGCCGCAACTCCGTTGGCTCCAACGAGACAAGTCTATACAAAACTTGGAGGGCTGATGCACTCCCCTTCCCCCTCCTCCTGCACCAATCAGTGCCGTCCCAGCCGTGGCTCGCACAAACCTGTGCGCTGCGGCAGGCCAATGCCAAGAACGCGGCCTGGTGGCAATAAAGGTTCGCCGCCTGCGCCAAACCCCAGACCTGATCCTTTTTCTTTAATCATCCCTACTTCGCCTGCACGCCGGGGTCGTCCATCGCCATGATCCATTCGAGTACTCTTGATCTGTCCTTCTTCTATGAAGAAATCATTCCGTGAGGTTGATGTTGCCCCGGCATGTTCTGCATCTGCATGGGTCTTTGGGCCTGGGCCATAGAGGGGCTAGCATGATGGCTCGGCGGCCGTTGGCCTGGCCCCATTCCCTGTGGTCGAGCCGGGGTCTGGAATGCCGGCTCTTTCTTCGGGTCGGCATTGGGGAACAGCGTTTGAAGCTTCGTGTATAACTCAGTAAGATATTTGGATCGCTCCTCGCGGTCTGTTGTCGGGTCTGGGTTGTTCTCGGGAATGTCGCCAGGAGGTGTCGAATTCCGTATTTTTAGTGTCATGTTCAATGGCGGAGAGGAAAGGTATGCGGGGGACGGCGGTACTTGGACGTTCCCCTTCCTGTCAGCCAGAGCGGCCAAGTAGGCGAGATTCGCTTGAAGTCGTCGCATACAGCTAGGGGGAGCGTCTGTTAGTTCTGCTACGCCACGAGAGGCCTCCGCTGCTGACTCACTGGTTGTAATCCTGCTGAGCCGCTGACTCTTCTTGGGTAGGTTTCCTTGCTTGCTCTGCTTCACCCGAGATCGTTGCTTCTTTCTTCAGCTCGCTCAGGGTATGTTGCAGCTGCATCGACTCGAACAGCAGTTCCTGGTTTATTTCCAGCAGCAAGGAGAACCGCTCCTGCTCCCGCGACTCGCTGCCGGGGCTGAGAGGAGTGGCCAACGACGACCCGCCATTCAAACTCGCGCTCTGGTGATGTTGGGGAAACGTAGGTGTCTGAGGAGTTGTTACAGTCGCTGAATGCTGTTGTGCGGCGGTCGTGGGAGTTTGGCTGAGAGACTGGGGCTGCGGCGCCGGGAATTGCGACTGCTGTTGCGGATGTTGTTGAGCTTGTTGCTGTTGATGCTGCTGCTGCTGCGCTTGTTGATGTTGCTGCTGATGCTGCTGCTGCGCTTGTTGGTGTTGCTGGTGCTGCTGGTGCTGGTGCTGTTGATGTTGCTGCTGAGTGGGTTGTTGCTGTTGCTGTTGCTGCTGTTGCGATAGTTGTTGAGCCTGAGGTTGTTGCGGCTGTTGTTGAGGCTGCGGGTGCGGTTGTGGCTGGTGATGCTGCGGTTGATGCTGTTGCGGCGGCGGCTGCTGCTGCTGAGGGTTTTGCTGCTGAGAATGTTGATGTTGTTGTTGCTGCTGCTGCTGCTGCTGCTGCTGATGTTGCATAGCGTTATTCGGGGAACCGTGTCCTCCCTGTGCCGCGCTCATCGGCCTTGAAGGAGTCGAGCTTATCGGCATGCCACCTTGGTTGGGTTGTCCCTGTGCTTGCTGATGTTGCTGGTGCTGCTGTTGTTGTTGTTGCTGCTGCTGCTGCTGCTGCTGCTGCGCCTGCTGGGCTTGCATGCGCTGCTGCTGCTGCTGCATCATGATCTGCTGCTGTTGCTGAGGCGTCATACTCGCGTTCATCGGGAAGCCTTGCATTCCGCCAAAGTTGGGATGTTGACTGCCCGGAGCGGGCATGTTGCCGCCGTACGGATTGCCCTGGTAGGGGTTTTGGAAGGCCACTGGTGAAGACATTGAGGTCAGCGAACGCGTGTTTCGGTTGCTGAGGTTTGGATGATTCTGCAGTGTCATATCCGACGCGTAGTGGCGATGGTAGTAGCGACGCGATAAATCTAGGACAGCCCCGTTTCCATCGCTTCATGCCCTTTGTTTCGGTCACCACGCAGAGAGAGACAGACACATGCTGCCATGGCAGCATCAGAGGGCGCAGCGCAGACACGAGACTCTACCGAACGTCGTTTGGGGGGAGGGGAGCACAGGGAGAAATAGGGCGAAGAAGGGGAAGAGCTTACTTTGGCCATTGGCAGCCATATGCGGCATACCGGCGTTCTGCATCATGCCTGCAGGACCAGCGCCCGACATCATGGCGGGATTGGGTCCACCGACAAAGCCGGACTGGCCACCGGGCATACCAGCGAATTGATTAGGGTTGTACATCATTTGTTGCCCGGCTTGATTTGAGACTGAGCCTGGCTGCATGTGAGGGTTCTGGTTTGAGGGTGGGGCGCCGGTGTTGAAGTTCGGAGGGACATTGGAGAAGCCGTAACCGGGAGTGTACATGGCTGGGACGGGAGGGGGAGATGCGATGGGCGCGGAGCTGCTATTATTATTATGCTTTGGAGGGGGGAGGGGACCAGACGCGACGGGTCTAAGGAACAGGTCGGGGGTGAGACCTAGTCGTGCGAAGAGAGTAGCAATAGACTCTGGCTTTCAGACTCGGTCAGAGTCAGACACGGGCTGGATGGCTGGCTAGCTACGCTGGGCGGAGGGTGGGAGAGGCGCGGTGGTCGCAGCGGGCAACGTTTCGACAAGTCGAGGAGAACAAGGAAGAGAGCGGCGGGCGGCGGGAGGAGTGTGTGTGGAGTGAGTCGAGGTGGTCCTGAGCCTGTCGGACCGCAGGTTGGCTAGGCTGGCAGGATGACTGGCTGGTTTGGTGGTGCCTGATGGACGGTGGGGAGCAGGGGTTGCCACCATCAACTGGCTGGGCTGTCTCTCGGATAGACGAAGACTGACAGCCAAAGTCTTGGCCCAAGGAGGTGAGGTAAGGAAGGGAGCGATTTGACGTGAGGATCGAAAGATGTATTTCCGTATCAAGGTACAAGCATGCATTCGGCACGAATCCGGTTGTGCCTCGTCTGCTCTCGGGAATGCCTGACTGGATGATACGACAGGAGCCTAGGATAGGGCTGGCCCGTTTGCCTGGGGCTCGTCCGTACTCGTTGACTATATGCCCCGTCCGTAACGAGGAAGACGGCAGCAGACGGCACGGGGGTGTGAGATGGTTAAACCGAGAAAGCAAAGGGCTGGAAGATGGGTAAGGTAAGGAAGGACAGAGGAAGGGGGGTGCCGATGGACGAGAATGACGGGTGGTGGGATGGGGCGTCAGAGTAGGGGTTGCCGGCAAGAGATGAGGCGGAAGGGGTCGTGAGTTGAGAGCCAGTGAGACAAGCCTAAGTCAAAGGCAGCTGGTGTCAGACTCTGGCCGGGCTGAGGCTTGATTCAGGGCCGACGCCGAGCTTGATAAGGCAAGGCAGGTCAGGTCAGATCCCACGAGGGTACCTCGACGAGAAAAAGAGGCAGGTCGTACGGTACCAGATGGATGGTACGGAGCGGAGCGGAGCGACCCGACAGGAAACCACTAGGAACAGGCAGACGACAACAGTCTGCGTGTCCGTGAATGGGAGAGAGGACCTCGGATGCTGCCGTAGTGCGCGTGTGTGTGTGTGTGTGAGAGAGAGAGAGAGAGAGAGTGAGTGACGGTGCGCGTGGAGCAGCAAGCGGAGAGGGAGAAGCGCGGCGCGGTGTGTCGGTGTGCAGTGGGTGCGAGGTGAGGGGAAGTCAGATGAGGTGAGGTAGGAACGACAGAGGGTGGTCGAGGCGCGTGCAATGCCGGGTGCGCCAGTCCAAGTCTGCGTTCAGAAATTAATTATGTGAGCGAGCTGCGTACGTGTGAGGGATATCGGGGTGCCGGTGTCCGTCGTGTTGTATGTATGTATGTATGAGTGAGTGAGTGAGTGAGTGAGTGAGTGTGCGGTGTGTGGTGTGTGGTGAGTCGACCAGGCATCGGGAGGCAGGAAGGGAAAGGCAGAAACAGAATTTTCTGCATTGCTTTTCCCGGGGGGGCGTGGACGCGGGGCTTGGGCGTCTGGGTCTGGGGAGGGTCTGACAAGGGCAGGATCCAAGGGAAGAGAGGGGAACTACGTACCTCGAGTTGCGAGAGCCGAGGCGTCGTTTCTAACTGGCTGGCAACCCATGCATGAACGCTCTGCCAGATCCCCAACAGACCTGACAGGGGCTTTGCCTGCAAGCCACCCGGGATCACGTCCCCCCCTCCTGTTCCCCATGTCCTCGGGCTCTCTGTTCTTGACAAGAGTTGTCTAGTAGTACTCAGCAGGGAGCCCTAGTAGCAAATCTCTCCGATCAAGACTTCATCATATATGAGTGGCCAAACGTCGGCCAGGAATCCCCAAGCTCTAGTGGACTTGTCGTGCTCTCATTATACTACACTGCACCTACCTTGATACCCGCCGAAGCGCTCTTTGCCTATGCCTATGCCTATGCCTATGCCTCGACTATGTCTGATCAGATGGTTCCATCCACTCCGTAAGGCATTCCCAACACCTCACGCTACGAAAGTCCGGTCGGCAGCAGACCTCTGGGTGCTGCGCCCCATCACGACGCATACGTCTTTCCATACGTCGAGTTGCCGTACACGACGTTGACAAAGTGCTGTGCCACAATCTCTGCTATACAAATACACCCCGTTAGCACCACGGTCTCGAAATAAAACCGGGGTTTTTCGTGAACTTACATGTACGCTCGGAAGGATGCAACTCGTCGTACCAGAGGAAGCTCGCCTTGGGCTCTGACGAGTCCACGCACGCCGCCGTCACCGGGTCGCACGCCCGGTAGGGCGCCTTCACGTTCGGCGGCGAGGACAGATATTTTGACGGCTCGGCGTGGACGTCCCGCAACAGGCTGTGGACGTCGAAGATGGAGAAGATGGCGCCGGGCCAGCGCTTTTTGACCAGGAGGTGGAAGGGCACGCCGTAGTCAAACGCCGTGTTGATGCTGGTGCTGTACTCGAGCATCTTGTACTGGGTCTCGGTCGTGTTATAGCTCGTCTTGTTGGGCCAGAACACGCTGTCCCCGAAGCCACCAAGCTCCGTGGCGGCGTAGAGCGGCGATTGCTCCAGCGGCGCCACGTTGAGGAGGACGAAGTGCCGCCCGCCCGTCGCGTGGATCTTGTCAAATACCTCCCACACGCAGTCCACGTGGGACGAGATGGTCGTCCCCGGCGCGTTGGAGTCGGTGAGGAAGCCCAGGTAACCTAGGTCGTTGGTGCCGATCCAGAGCGCGTAGATCGTGTTGTTGGCCTCCCTGTTCGGGTAGAGCGCATCAAAGGCCGTGTCGGCCCTGTAAGCCGGAATCTCATAGTCCAGGACTGACGGGAACGGCTGGTGGATGGAGACGAAGTCTCGGGAGACGATCTTGTTGGAGCAGGTGGCGCCCCCGACGGCATAGTCGTAGTACTTTGCGCCGGTTGAGCTGGCGACGAACCGGCCCCAGGCGTATCCGCCGGACGCCGTGGAGTTGCTCGGCGGAAGAAGGACCCCCGCGGGCGGGGCGGAACCGTTGTTGTTGATGAAGTAGTTGAGCCGGCCTTCGTCGGTATAGCTGTCGCCGAACGTCACCAGGTTCTCGAACTTGTTGAAACCGACTCCGGAGGTCGCTGCCACCGAGACCAAGGCTGCGATGGGCAGGGACAGCATTGTCGGGGCAGAGGACACTGAGAGATATCCGTCACCGAGTGGGCTGTCTGAAGGCTTCAACTAGAACAACTATGGATGGGAGGGGACGGCCACTATATCAACGAACTACTCTGGCAGCCGGGGCCGTCTTCGCAAAGCCACCCCTCGGGACTTAACTCTCTGCGTCATACAGTCGATGGTTCTTCCCTTCGAGTCCGGAGCAAGGGAATTGCGGGCCTGGTGCGATCACCCATGAGCTGGGTTCCGACGTGATTAGAGCCACTCATGTCCGCCTGTGTTTATGAGGGGGTGGTGACGAATCGTAGCATGTAGGCGGCGGGCGAGAAAGCATGGTTTAGCTTCCCGAGATATATCGATCTGGGTATGATGGTGGTTGATGCGGGGTAACTTGATAATAGTTCCGCTTCTTTGGCCGGCAGATGCGTAGCCTCCCCAGCTTATTGCTACCACCCGCGCATTAATATCTGATGATGTGCTCGCAATCAGGCTAAATGTGGTTTTTGAGTCGGTTCATCTGCTCCCCTCCCCCCCATGTGACTCCAGGCCGGACGGGTAGGCCGGCACTAGTTCGCTAGAACAACCTCTGGAGCTCTACTAGGCAAGTAGTCCGGTCATGGCTAATAACTAACAAGCGAAAACGTGATGTCGTTGAACGGTCGACCTGCCTCCATCTCTTGAAACCGGTTTGCCTGGCGGGGCAGTGGCGGACTGTGTGGCTGTGACACGTCAGCTAAAAGCCCATCGTTAGCAACGTGCGTCGTGACGAAAGAGACGGCTGTTGGGTGCTTGGGTTTCCTCGCAACCAAGTCGGTGCGGCTTCTGTGCATATTGTGAGATATCGCCTTGGACAACAAACAACCCACGATGATGTGATTGCAAGTGCGTGTTAAGGTCGGCGTCGGCGTGTCACGGCTTCATCGATCCGGACGGTGCAACAAGGGCAGCGAGCCGATGCCGAGCGCGACGGCGTCCGGAGCTGCCACTTTCAAGCCGACTTCCACACAGGGTCACACTCAAGATTGACACACAAACGCGTGCGATGGCTATCCGATGGGCGCTCCTCCCGGTGAGAATCCCGAACGTTGACTTTTCGAAGTGGGGAGCTGGTCGGCATCAACGGAAGGCCATTGGCCAATGGTCGGTATCAATACCCCGCCACCCTTTGTCCCGGACAGTTGCCGCCACATGGCTCCGGGGTCGGCGGATGCAAATGCAGAATTGACGGAGATGCGTTTTGTAGGGTCCATAGTTGACTCAAACCGACGTCTGCGATTGTGCTCGAGTGAGTGAGATATCGATATAAGGAGACTGGCTGTCCGACTCACGATCCTGCCAATCTTCCAACTTCATGAGCGAGTAAACTCAGCCGAAATGTCGCCCTTCAACCTTGAAACATGTGCGCGTCCGAATATTCTAGCCCTTGAGCCTTACCGTTGCGCCAGAGAGTAAGTCGCACGCACTCACACACACGAGAATCGGCACAATCTCACTTGCATGAGCGACATGCTAACAACCCCTGTAAAGCGACTACAAAGATGACGGTACCAACGTTCTCCTCGACGCAAACGAGAACGCCTACGGCCCCTCCTTGCAGCCCAACCTCGAGGCTGGCAACCTGGGCATCGACTTCCTCGGCCTGAACCGGTACCCCGACCCGCATCAGCCGGAGCTCAAGCAGCTGCTCTGCGACCTGCGCAACACCCACACCCACACGGCCAGAGACCTGAAGCCCGAGAATCTCTTCGTCGGTGTCGGCAGCGACGAGGCCATAGACGCCCTGCTGCGGTGCTTCTGCGCCCCCGGCAAGGACCGCATCCTGACCTGCCCGCCTACCTATGGCATGTACTCGGTCTCGGCGCAGATCAACGATGTGAGCATCGTCAAGGTCCCGCTGAAGCCCGCGCCAGGGTTCGGCATGGACACCGACGCCATCCTCGACACGCTGACCCGGGAGGGCGACACCATCAAGCTCGTCTATCTCTGCACGCCGGGCAACCCCACCGGCTCGGTGCTGGCCAAGGAGGACGTCCGGAGGGTCCTGGAGCACCCGACGTGGAACGGCGTCGTCGTGCTCGACGAGGCTTACATCGACTTCGCGCCCGAGGGCAGCTCGCTGGCCGAGTGGGTGCTCGAGTGGCCCAACCTCGTCGTGATGCAGACCCTCTCCAAGGCCTTTGGCATGGCCGGCATCCGCCTCGGTGCCGCCTTCACCTCGCCGCCCATCGCCCGCCTCCTGAACGCCATGAAGGCGCCTTACAACATCTCCACGCCCACGAGCGCGCTCGCGCAGTACGCCGTGTCCGACAGGGGGCTGGCCGTCATGCGCGCCAACCGGGCCAGGATCCTGGCGCAGCGGGACCGCATCATCGCCGAGCTGCCCAAGGTCCCCGGCGTCGGCAAGCTGCGGGGCGGCACGGAGAGCAACTTCCTGCTGTACGAGATGCTGGACGCGGCGGGGAACCCGGACAACGCCACGGCGCTGGCCGTGTACGAGCGGCTGGCGGAGGACAAGGGCGTCGTCGTCCGGTTCCGCGGCAAGGAGCACGGCTGCCTGGGGTGCCTGAGGATCACGATCGGCACCGAGGACGAGGTCACGCGGTTCCTGGCGTCAATCGAGAAGGTCTTGGCCGAGGTCCGCGGCGCCGGACGGCAGCCGGACGAGGAAAAGAAGGAGGCTGCGGCGAGCGGTGTGGTCGCTTAGAACATGTGGGATGACTTATGCATAGACAATAGAACAAATAGAAGACACGCCGAAGACATGTACTGATGATCTGTTCAATGGTCCCTTGGCTCGTTTGAAGAGGAGCCTGGTTCACACTTGTGCCATTCTCGTACGTGCCGATGCGCCTTTTTGGGTATATGAGAAGATATATATATTCCACTTGGCTGGCGACAGGCACTCAGCAGTGAAGTGATGGTCTGAGGGGGCTTGCGACGCTTCTCAGGATGGTACAGGGTGCCAGTTGCGCAGTGTCATTGTTACAGTTATCAACAGAGCCATCATCACACATGCCCTGCCGTCGAGCTGTCGCTCAATCTCCAACTCTTTCTTCATCAATAGAGTGTGGTATGAGAGGACAACGCTAAGCACCCTCGGGTTCCAGACTGTCGTCGGGCCCGGCACTCGGCACAGGCTTTTCTCCTTCGATCTCCTACTTTGCTATATGGCCATACGGATACCAGACGCTTATTTCACAGAGACAAGACCAGCAAGGGCAATGAAGGCGAGGTTAGTTTACAAAACCCCACCGGGGGCGTTACCGAATAGGAATAGGGTTAAACTTGGTGGCGTGGCTGTTTCATGTGTCGAGTTCAAAGTGGCAGCTACTCGAGCTAGCGGCTCTCGAGTAGATCATCTCGCCTCCGCAGGAGGAATAGAGCGCCCAATCAGTGGCTTTTCTTCAACACACAGCGACTGGAGGTGCTGGTTAACCGGCATTGGGGGGGGGGGTTACTGGGAACACAATTGGTTATCTAACGGTCAATCGCCATCCAACCATCTCGTCTCATGTCCCGAGAGCTGGGATGAACAGGCCGCATCCGCCCAAGCGCCTCTCTCGCTTGCTTTGCTGGGTTCTGTTCTGCAGGCTCTAAACTGAGTTCTGCTCTGTAATCCTCTGCTCCGGCGGCTTGCAGATCACTGCAGCAGGGCGCGCGTGTGTGTCCCTGACTAACGCAGCCGCCGCCGCCGCCGCCCTCCTTTTTCCCCTCAAAGGCAACATGGTGGACCAGAACCATTCGAATATAGCCAACTCCCCTTACCGACATTACCGTCCAGGGATGAAGAGGGGCCAGACGATGCCAAACAAGGGCTCACCCAAGAAGCTTGTAGGTAGGCTTGTCAGAGTCTAAAAGAGAAGCGCGATGAGGGCTGAGTCGACGGCGATCCCGTCCATCCGTTGGTTCGTGCCATCTTCCCTCCTTTCCAGTGCACCGATATCCTTGCGTAATGCACCATGTATACAACGCACCTTAGTGAAAGAAGCCCCGAGTTAAAGCGCGGCTTCTCACGCCCCTTCCCCCCCCCCCCCCCTCCCCCCAGACCCCACGCTTTGCGACGGACGCCCTTGTCATTTCTACCGACGCCCCATGTGCTTCCCCGGGGCCCCGTCTACTAAGTGCCGGACAAACTCGTGCCATCATCATGGGGCTGCTGCTTCTTCTGCCTCTTCACCTTCTTTCTCCTGCACCTCCTCTCGTAAACCGGTGTTTTGCTGCTACGGCCCCTTCAATTTCGTTCCCTCACCGAGCTTCCTTGCCCATCGTCCTTCGTTGACCCGCCGTTTGTGATATTGGAAATTGCCATTTTTAGGGTACACTCGAGCAAGCACACACTCCTTTCGACGCTCCTTCGTAAACAGCTTCGTCCCAACCCCCATCAGAGCCCGTACAGTATAGTCCATCGCCAAGCAGATTTTTATGATGGTCTTCGTCAGACCTGCTCTCATCGCTTCCGTGGCCGCCGCTACGGTGTCTGCCTTCACGGCGCCCAACACGCTTGATGTCACCAAGCCAGGTCAGTATAGAAAGAATTTGGGACTTCTCATGAGTATTGGACTGATTTTATTTTTTTTATTCTTAGATTCCGTCAAGGCAGTTGCTCGCAGTCTTGCCTTTGGCGCCATGTCATACTACAACGGCAATGTTTCCAGTGACCCAAAGGTGCGTCGAAACGAGTCCGGCAAAGGGCGATTGGGATCCTTGCATAGTCATACAACCGAGAAACTAACACATGCTTAGATGGTCGGTGACTTGCCAGATCCGTACTACTGGTGGCAGGCCGGTGCCCTCTGGGGTATCATGGTGGATTACTTCCGCTACACCGGCGACGCGACTTACAACGACGTGCTCACGCAGGCTCTGACGGCCACCGTGAACACCGGCCCGAACTTTGACTTCATGCCACCGGAGCACGCCTTCGAGGAGGGAAACGACGACCTCGGCTTCTGGGGCTTCGCCGTCATGGCCGCTGCCGAGGGGAACCTTACCCAGCCCAACGCCAGCGTGCCCTCCTGGCTCACGATGGGGCGCAATATCTTCAACTCGCTCGCCACGCGCTGGAACATGACGCACTGCGGCGGCGGCCTTCTGTGGCAGATCTACGAGACCAACCCCAACGGCCTCAACTACAAGAACTCGGTCAGCAACGGCGGTTTCTTCCAGCTCGGCGCGAGGCTGGCCGCCGCCACGGGCGACGCCGCGTACGTCGCCTGGGCTAATTACATCTGGGACTGGTCCGTCAACGTCGGCTTCATCGACCAGAACCTCAAGGTTTACGACGGCGCCGACTCCCGCGACAACTGCACCAAGACGAACTACTTGTCCTTCACCTACTCCACCGGCATCTACCTCTACGGCGCCGCCGTCATGGCCAACCACACCGGGGATGCGGTCTGGAAGCAGCGCGCGACAAAGATGTTGGAGACGGCGCGCTCGAGCTTCTTCTCCCCCGCCGCGAACAGCACGAACATCATGTACGAGCCCGCCTGCGAGCCGGTCAACACGTGCAACACGGACATGAAGTCATTCAAGGGCTACTTGTCCCGTTTTCTCTGGAAGTCGGCCATCGTCATGCCCGAGCTCCTCCCCGCCGTCAGGGAGATCCTAGTCCCGTCCGCCCTCGCCGCGGCCAACGTGTGCGAGGCCACGGAGACGAATGTGGTGTGCGGCCAGAAGTGGTACGTGGGCGGCAACGACGGCAGCCTGGGCCTCGGCCAGACCATGAGCGCCCTCGAAGTCGTCCAGGGTCTGGTCGCCAGTCAGTAGTAGGTGCTGGCTTTTGCTCGTCCCTCCAAGACCCCACGCCAGCCGAGCTGTCTGTCGTTCGTCGTCCCGCTCCCCTCCTTTCCGCGTCTTTTTTGCTATACTTGGGAGCAGCCCGGGAGGCTTTGCCGTCCACCAGTTGGGGAGGGGGGCGGGGAGCACAGCACAACCGTTCATCTGTGTGTCGCACATGAATGTCGTTGCGGAAACGGAACGACACTAACAGTAAGGTTAGTCTCATGGCCAACAAGACGTCGGTGCCTGTGGGCAACTCGACGCCCAACTCGACGGCCTCGAACCCACAGGATAACAGCGCTATCCACGTAAGGTGGATGGGGACGAGCACCTCTGGCGCCCTCCTGCTTTTTTGGATACTTTGGCTATTCTGACTAAGGACGGAGGCGTCGAGACGGAACACACAATGGGTAGTGTTTCCATATTACCAAGTATCAGACTGGGAGAAAGAGAAGACGAATAAAGAGAAATTTGCACATCATGTACATGACCATCACCTCGTCGATACGTGGAGCCTTTCCTTGCACGGTCGAGATTTGGAGCAACCATTGGTTCCACGACTGACGACGGACCTCATTTCAGGGTCGCCTACGTGGTGGCACACGTTACGGCCAATCGGCTTGGTTGACGGTCGCTTGTGTCTACTTCTACCCCTAGCTCCTCGGCCGAGATAAGTCACGGGAAAAAGAGAGAGAGAGAGAGAGAGAAAAAGGGACGGGATGTCTCATAAGTGTTGTGCAACATTGGACGGGGAAAAGGCGGTTGCCCTCTCCTCTCTGCCCTGCTGATGTGTATTTGATTTCAACCGTTAAAAACTCTTGATCGTAACCTTGTACAACGCCGATACGGGGTATAACTCCAAAAATGGGGGAGCACATCGTGAGAAACAACAAAGCCCTGGGTGGCGAAACCCTACCCGACAGAGAAGGTGCTGGGTGGATGAAAACAAAAAGACGACGGACCTCACCAATGATCCGCCATATGTACCGCCTTGAAGATGAGGACAAAACTCCAGTAATGTGTGATCTTGCAACCGCCGATAGCCAGTCCGGGATTCCCTATGCTTTCTTGTTTTTTGCTTCGTATGCTGCCCTTTCCCCATCAAAAGATGATTCGTGTTTTCTTTTCCACTTTTCACTCGTCGATTCTCGGTAAGTCAGGGTTGTCAGGACGTGCCTTGGTTGCGCAAATTGGTATATATCGCTCGCATGAAGGATACCCGCCCCTTATGCCATTAGAGTGACGGCAACCATGCTACATGCCGACGCGGTAAGAGCCCAGCCTAGGTGAAGACGCGAGGCGGCGCTAGGGTTGGTCTCGGCGGGTCTTGCGGAGGAGATGGTGCCCGTGTAAAGGAAGTCGTCGTAGTCGGGATCGCCGGGCGCCTTTGTGGGTGCCGGAGTTGCCGCAGCATCCTCCTGAGCCAGTGTTAGGACGCCCCATTGCACCTCGGAGCCGGTCATGGTTGAGGTCCACGACACTTCGGTCGGGCCTGTGTATTTGCCGTTGATATATCCGCTTTTCAAGCTAGAGTATCCAGAGCATGTCGCAGCTGTCGTCCCGCTCAGTGTGCATCCAAGGTCGGCGGTACTGTTTCCAGTCGCATCATAGTCAGTTATGGGTGCATCTCGGAGATAGATAGCGTCGAGGCTTATTGAAGTGAGTGCACCTACAGTGTTGATGTTTTAGTGCCGTGGAACTGAAGCGTGCTCTCGCCCTCGGCAAAGACGAAAGGAAACTCGACAGCGAGGTCGCAGTCGGGCGGTATTTGTGGTGCGCAGAAGATGGTGTACGTCGTTTCTTTGTCATTCTGTAGCAGGGCCACTGTTAGATCACGACAAGGACACAGGGGAAGGAGAGCTTGGGGCGCTCCAGAGGTCGCCGTACACTTGAAATTACGCTGCCTCGCAGCTGCGACCAGCTATTAGCATCGTAGTGCGGTAGGTAGATCGGGACAGTGGTGGTGGTGGTATCATCGGCGCGGACGACGTTGGAAGAGAAGAGGCAAAGCGACAACAGAGCGAGAAAGGGCTGCGGATAATGCATGGTGATAGCACGGGAGGATCCAAATAAATATGGCCAAGGGTACAACAATGCTTCAACGTCAAGTGCTGGCTACCAAGGGTAGTGGTTCATCGGGCGAGGCGACCAGCTCCGTAAGTGGACAAGGCGAGACAATCCGTCGACCCGGCCTGACGGTACAGAAGCTGGAGCTGGACAGAAATGGCAAAAGTCCGTCGATATTAGGATTAATGTGGAAGAATGGGTTGGAGGAAAAGGCAGTCGGTCGTTTCCCGCGGCACAAAGTGGATCGGCGTGTCTGGTAGTATTGGTGGTGGTTGAGAGACCCTTGTTACCACATGGGAAAGACGTAACGGGCCTTTCCACAGGCGGGTGCAACGATGGCGAAACAGCAAGCAAGCAGGCAGGCAAGATCCTGTAGGGTGACGGAGTAGTGTACGGGGGCAGAGCTGTCGGTAACGGTCAACCAGGCGAGAGTTGCGGCTTGTTGGTGGTGGTGGTGGTGCTGCTGCTGGGGGTGTGGAGGGATGCCGTTTCCTTAATAGAGGAAAATGAACATGGGGGCCAAGGAAGCTGAGGAAGAATTCCGGGGAACGGGAAAGGATCCCGATGACAAGAGAGACGAGAAGGAGGGAGAGAAAGGGCGCGGGCTCTGGAGCCTTTGCCAATGCGCCGTTGTTGCCGGCCAAGGCTGGGCAGGAGAATAAGGTGAGCAAGTGTGCATGCATTCTTTTCTGGCAAAATGGAGAGCCAAGACTTTGACTTTGGCTCAGCATCAGCAGAGGAAGAGAGGGTCAGAGTCTCCACGCAGGGCGGGAAATTCCCTGGTATGGTCTGCCTACCTTACTCCGTACTTAGTGTAGTGGTGCACACTCAGGTGGCTTGGTCCTTGTCGCTGGCGTTGACACTGGTCAAGGAAGGAAGTCTTGGCAGCCACGCCTTTTGCGTTGCTGTGCGTTGCTGCCAAGCCACGAGGCAATTCATTGCGCACCCGTCTTTTTTTTTTCCTGGTCGATCTCTCTACCTACATCCCTCAGCTCTGAGCCAACCAGGAGGGGATGGGGGACCAATCTACCTACCTACCTACCTACCTACCTAGGCAATCAATTACGTTGCCAGCAGCGAGAGGCGGGCGTCCATGCCTCATGCTCATCCCCTCTGTCTTCTCCCACCACCACAACGGGCGGCGGATGATGATGGCGGGTACATGCTAGCCGAGAGAGTAGGTGTGTGCTGGACGGGTGGGTGGGCGGCGGCGAGTGGGATACGAATTGGCCGATTAAGAAACATACTGGTAAGGTAGGGTGAGAAGAGAGTATGGGAAGGGAAGAAAGCCAAGAAATGCCAAGCCCGAGAAATTCGAGGAGGAAATACATGTATGGTAAGCGGAATAGGCACGGTCGTTCGAAATGGGTGGGGTAATCGAGGGCCATAGAGCCACATGAGTGGATGGAAACTGCCAGTAGGCAGGAACCGGCAAGGGTATGGCACTGTCAGGCAAGTACGGGTAAGTACCGCCCTGCACCTGCGGGAAACTCTGCAACGCTCGGGAAACTCGACATCGGAGGATTGCCCGATTAACACTACCTATCCGTACCACCCCTCAGTGGGAGCCGCCCATCCTCTGCTTTTCCGCCGTTGATCCATCCTCTGCCTCCCTTTTCCGCTCGCTGCACCGACGGAACAGAGGAAATCACTGCCTGCAAGAGCCAAGAAAAACGTGGTCACCACCCACCCAATTACCGTCTCTTAGCCTTCCGGCCATACTCGTGCCATCATCATGTCTTCCTCATGCCCATCCCATCTTCACTTGTCAACCACCGACCTTGGCATCCCTCTGCTGCCGACGCACAGTCCCGCTCTCGTCCCGTCTCTCACCGTCTGTCTTCAAGGGCCTTCGTGAATCATCTTCATCTGATTCCTTCCGCTCCGCCCGGGGCACCACTCCACATAGCCAGGGTGTCTTTCAGTCTCACCGCAATCGCCTTGGCAAAGCTGGGCCTACTGCAAACAAAAGACCGTTGCACCGCAGACATGCGACGACGAGAAACAACAAGCCCGCCGTGTCAACGGCTCGGCATTTGCCATGACACGGCAACGGAGTTTGCACCCTCGTTTGCCCAACAAGCCACCTCATTGGACGTCGTTGACACATTGGAATCATGTTGGCTTTCTCGTGCCTAGCAAACCCGACACCCTTCCAAGAAGGCCAAGACCTCATGCCAAAAGCCACGTGCAACAATTTGCGAATGCCATGCTGAGCACCCAAGAAATCATGATGGCCTTCGGATATTGGCATATCCACATTCCCGCACTGTTGAAGGTGGCATACGGGCCGTACAACAGTGAACCAAACATACTCCATCTACATACCGTCCTCGAATTCTCCCACACCAATCTACTTTTCTTGTTACCTCTCCTAACTATACCGTAAACACAACTTTTTTCTTCTTTTCTTAATCCGGTACTTTGGTTCGAAATGAAATTCATTTTCAGAGGAAAACCTTCCACACATTATGATAACACATACCCCTTTAGATCTTTGACAAGCAGGAGGGCACAAGAGCAAATTGATCGACTGGCAGAGGTAGTGTGATATCCAATCGGAAAACCCACCGATTTTATGGCTACTCCGGTCCAACGGTGTGGACGGTTCAAGGCAACAATGGGGAGGACATGAGCGCTTGACCGTAAGAGGCATGGACCCTTTGGACCCGTATGCAAGATTGCGGCACATCTGCGTTCGGACCTTTAAAGGGGTATCCGTAAGCAAATATGATATATCTAGTCGCGAACCTGTGTGAATGCCTGCGAGAAAGGTGCCAAGCATCTGCATCCCCAACATAGCTGGACCGGATTTCATTCGCCATTAGGGGCTTTGCAAAGATCGTCTTGGCTTTCGTGGGTACTGCCGCGGCGCAGACCACGACGGTGGTCGAGGTCGGGAATCCTTATTTCGGAAACAACCCTTATGACGCCTCCGTTGTGGATGCCAATCCCACCGCAACAACTTACGCCGTATACTGCCAGAAGAACAGCGACACCTACCAGTGCCGTGACGACCCCGCCGGTCTGATTCTCACCCTCGTGGGTGGCCCCTCGACCGTTGAGGTCCATGTCGAACGGCCCAAGAGCAAGTAGTAGGGCTCGCGGCGCGGGAGGCTGCGCCTCATACGCAGCACCACCCCTCAACCGCTCGAGGACCTCGAGCAGGGTAACCGGGCTGACCGCTTCTCACAGCTCGGAAGAATTCATCGGCACCATCTCGGGCGACCGACTGGATTACCGGGTCATCGCTACCCTGAGCGGGCAGGTCGTCGCCACGACCGATGCGGTCCTGTTGCCCGTGACAAACCCAGACCTACGCGCGCCTCTCACTGTCACTGCCGGCATCGAGAAGCTGCAAGCCCAGGCCACCACGACGACGATAACGACGACGGAGCCCAGCGGCGCGCAGACCGATCCGACTGCGACCGGCGTGGAGGCCTCCCCGACGTCCACCCCGAACACCGCAGCGTCGCGGGCCACTCGTAGCGGCGTTTTGGTCGGCTTCGCCGGCGCTGCCGCCGTAGCGGGAGTCGTGCTGTTCTAGGACGCAAGAGACGCATCTTTGCGAGTTATACGTCGGCTTCTATGGGGGAGAAAGGGAGGGTAATCGGGAAAGGGGCAAGAATTGACAGAACGATTTGCTGCCCTTTGACACACGTCGGCTGTTCTGCGTGGTTCTTTGTTGTCCCTAGGGCGAGGTGATGTTTGCTACCGCGTCTGGAGGACGTTTCTTTTCTACACACAGGCAACTTAAACGCTCGGGTTTGTTCCTGAAGGGGCATATTCAAAGGCGCTTTTTTGTCGGACCACCAGATAGTCGCTTGTTTTGATATCTGACAACGGGCCGGAAGACTCATGGTGAATAGCAACGAAAAGGGGGGGAAAAAAAAAGAAGAAGAATGTAAATTTCGGCACGGCGGCAACCCATCATCTACCCGTTCCCGTATTGGAAAACTCCAACAAGTGGCTTCGCCGTCTGTATGTGGCATCAACAGCAGACCCGCGACGCTAATTAACACTTAACCACAGTATCCGTCCCTCATCAGGGCCCCAAAAGGAAAAGAAGAAGAGAAAAGAGAGAAAGAAAGAGACGCCGCAAAACCTTGTCGCTCTCCTCCCTGGCCAGTCCCGCTACCCCATCTCCGTCCCTGTATACAGGCCTCTTCTCTCGCTCTCTTGCCAGAAAAGACATGGAGCTAAGCGCCCAGCTAGGCATCGCCCTCGGCTGCTTGGCCGGCGTGTTGCTCATATTTTGCACAGCGTGGATGACCTTCCGCTACGTCATGTCACCGCGAGCCCAGAAGGCGTACTTCCGGCGCAACGGCGGAGCTCCCGCTGAAACGATACCCGGCGTCTGAGGAGCCGGATAAGGTGTCGTCGCCGGGACTGGAGATGACAGGCCGGGTAGATTGGGACTGGGGAGCAGCTTTGATAGATGGTCACTGCTTGTTTGCCGGATAATCTGGACGATGGCGGTTGGTGACAGTCACCCAATGTCATTGACACCCCTATTACTTTGCTTGAGAGGTAATCTTTTCTTGAGGTAGTGTGGAAAGTCTCCCTCAAGACATCTCTCGACTCTCGACTCAAAAATGCTGTTTGGGAAAAAAGAAAAGAAAAAAGCACACGAACGCTCTCGCGCTACCCCTGACACCACGTCTCTGTCATGCCGAAACAGCGGCACTGAGACCCATGGTCAGGCCTGTATACTGTCAGATACTTTGTACGCCGCTCTAGAGAAAACCTCTTCTGAATTCTCAGATGCTTGGACAAATGAAGACGTTGGAATTACTAGTGAACCCTGTCCTCGCGACCATCCTGCCAGCTGGTGCAGTTAACGCAACGTTGCGCCTGTCAAGAATTGTTAGTCATTGCTTTGCCATTGCGTCCAAAGCTTCTAATGGAAGTACAACGGAAATGTACAGAGACTTGCCTTACTGCTGATACGCTTTCGACAGTATCTGCATTTAACGGTATGCTTAATGATCGGCTCTGGGGAGAAGAATTGGAAGATGTGGGCCAGACCGTAGAGGGAGATTCCGATGCAGAGGAACGACGCGAGTTGGTTGAGAAACGAGCTACCGTCACATGTTAGCCGCAACATTGACCTTCGGATTGCTGTGCTGGTTGATGAGACATGGCCCAGTAATGAGGTTGGGTTTCCAGGCGTGATTTAGATAGAGAGTTCGAACATGAAGAGGTACAGCACCGAAAAAATGCTTCGGGGGGGGCTTGGACTTGGGCCCGGCTTGGGCTTGAAAAGCAGATGAGGAACTCACCCATAGGCCAGAACAACGGCACCGTCATCCTTTGCGCGCTCGAGGGTTGTGTACCCGCTCTGGGTGTAGTTGGGGCCGCCCTGGAGGACGGCAAACTTTTGCTCCATGTTGCGATTGAGAGGGAGGATGACGGAAATGGGGGGCATAATGATGTTCTGCACAAAATTGTTGACGAGAGTGGTAAAGGCGGCGGCGATGCTGCGGAGGGACAAGTCAGCCAGCTATTCGCGGAATACGTCCACCATCGTGCGTCTTGGCGATTACGAGAATCGTATATAACCTGACCCGGGGGAAACCAGACGTCTTGCAGAGCCTCCACTACGTGTGGTGCACATGATGCCGCATAATCCGAGGAGACTCGGAACGGGAATACCCACATCAAGCCAAAGGCGATCTCGAGGATGTTGCCCTGCAGAGCAAAATCAACGAAGCCGTCCCAGAAGCGGCGCGCCTTTTCCCGGCCACGGCCGAGGAGCGATTCCTCCTCGCCGTTGTCGCCGTTGCCTCGCATGTTGGACGCCGAGGAGATGCGGTCTGCGAACGGAAGAGAGGGCATATTGAGCGTTGCTCCTCCGACTCGGCTCTTGGGAGGAGAGGAAGAGGAGAGGGGCAAAGGAAGTGTGCGATGGACGATGAAACAGTCGCTGTAGACCAAAGAAGTATGAGTTTGTCGGCTTGTTGGAGGCTGTAGGGGATAAGAGCAGTTGGGCCGAGTGTGATGTACGTTGTTGAAGAGTGGGTCGAGGCTGGGCGGTGGTTGCCTGTTTAGGGAAGCAGGGGGGAGGAATGACGTACCCATAATTCCGGGGTGCACACCGGAGTCGTGCAAGGGGCCAGGGTTTTGCGGCAAAGGCTTCTCTGTAAGTACCTATATGACCTATATGGATGGGGTATGGATGAAGTTGACAAGAATACATCGGCGAGTATTCAGGCTATTCGCAGAACTAAACCGGCATATGACGAGTCCGGCAGATTTACAAAGCTTGCTTTCACGTGGAGTACTAGTGGCCGATTGAGAACAGCAGAGCCAGCTAGCCCCCTATACAATCAATCACGTATTGGTTTTAACTCTTGAATATTGTACACTACGATGGTGCAATCTATGGATTCGCATGCTCGGACAATGAAATGGTATCTCGGAAACAATGAGAAAGGATCGTAATATCGGAAATGGCCGTGGTATGCCAGCTATCCGGCCAGACATGACAAAGGTATCGTTGCAAAAGTAAAATAAAAAATCACAACTGCTTTCACATCTTGGAAATCCAATCTGCGAGAATAAAATGCACACTGATGGCTGGTTTACTGTACGGTTGCCCAGGGACGGGGTAGACTCATGCCCCTAGAAGCTGCCTTTCGGGTGGCGGTTCTCTGTGAAACCCCGCCTGCGCGTCGATCGTCTCTCGAGGCAGAACTGCGTGACCCAGTAGATGGCCGCCGCGAACATGACGGCGAAGGCGACCCACGAGATGATCATGAACTTCTGACCGGCCTCGGCCGATATGCCGATTTCCTCGCCCACGTCCGTGATCTGCTTGGCGCCCTCCTTGGCGCCGATAGTCGTGATGAGACTGCCGGCGAAGAGGACGAGGGCTGCGAGGATGGCGAAGACGAAGTTGGTCAGAGTCATGCGCTTCTTGAAGCCGAGGAAGAAGGCCGCCAGTGACCCGAGGATGGCGAGGCCGGAGAAGGCGATGCCCAGGACGTAGAGGACCCAGATGGCGAGGAGGAACTTGTTGACTTTGTCCATGGTCTCCTCGATGGTGTCGGGCCAGTCGAGGTCGGCGAGGCTCAGGCGCAGGGGTCCGACGGAGAGTTCCTGGTCGAGCATCTTGGTGAGGTTGACGTTGGCTGGTCCAAGGTTAGCGTTGCGTCACAGGATCAGGACAGCGGGAGGGTACTTACGACCAGGAGACGGATGGGTGCAGTTCGTGACGTTGAACCAGGCGTTGGACACGGTCACGTTGGGGGCAAAGTCGCCCTGGCACACGTCCATCAGGTGCAGCGAGTACCACTCGGAGATGCCCAGCTCGTCTGCGAGCCGGTCGGCAATGTCATTACCCAAGTCGTTTAGAACGTCAGATACGCGGTCGCTGACGCCGTCGACAAATCGGTCGAGGAAGCCGTCCGTAGTCGAGGCGGGGTCGGCCTCCTCGGTGGCGGTGGGGATCAGGTTGTAGCCCAGGGTTGACATGTTGAGCCGGACGACGTCGTAGTCCTCCATGAAGCCCTGCTTGTGGCCGGCGAAGAGAGCCAGGAAGGAGAGGACGAAGGCCACTATGGACAGTACCAGCGGTAATATGACGGTGAAATGCATGTTGCCGGTGTTGAGGGATGTTTGGCTCTAGTTGGACAAGTGGAAGGGAAGATGTGTGGTTGTTTGAGTAGACGAGCAGGGCTCACAACAGATTGTGTGATGCAAGACCCGAGATATCGGGGGGTAAGTAAGAGGTACTGCCTACCTAATATTGTCGACGGCGATACGCGAAAGCAAGAGTGTCTAGAAGTCGAAACCATGTGTCAAGCGGCAGAGGGTCCTGGCCTTAAAGGGAGAGAGCAACCAAACAGGCTGAAAGCCATGGGTGAATCACAGCCAGTCATATTTCCAAGACGCTGGAATGACAATGATGCAACTGAGAAGATCCTGCCTGACTGGGCGTGAAGGAATGCATCAATGAAGGCGGCGGTCAGGAACAAGGTCGACTGACTGGGGGGGTTGGTAAGTTAGCCATGTTTGCATGGCTTGTCTCTGTGGAGAGAGGGGCCTAGCCAATAAAGGGAAGAGTAGCAACTGGACCGCAAAGCAAAGAGACCCTTAAAAACTCAAAAATAAAAATAAAAAGGGCAGAGAGGGCAATATCATTTCGCGCGCATCTAGGGCGGGAACAACGCAGCAAGTCTTGTCGAGCCTGACGTGGCCAAGGGTGTCGTCGCTGTCCAGGCCGTGTGTGGATGCAAAGAAGTCCAAGTTTACGTCATCGGTCTCGCTTTCCGTCCTGAGCCACCTCACTTCTTCCCCCGTTCGGGCCTCCATCGCCGCCGCCGTTGGCCTGGGACCCACCTGGGAAACCCTTTCTCAAGGCCTAGCCGCATCTAGCCGTACTACCTACCTAGGCTATCTGTACTACCATATATGTAGGTACCTAGGTACCTAGCTACCTTTTAGAGCACCTAGGTAGGTACGTACTACTGTACCTTACCTCCGGATACCTTCCTACTCGTTCCTAATCACCTGTTACCTAGGTGGGTGTTCGTCCATTGGATGACACCGAACAAAACCTGTTTGCACAAGAGGCGGCGGCAGGTTTTGGCAGCCGCTCGAGACTCTAGAGTGTCCAGTTTGGTAAAGTTGTTTACCGCCTGTGGCTTGGCTTTCCTGCATACTGAGTAGGTATCGTTATGTGCTTATGGCCAATCGTCCATTAATATCTTGCTTATACAATGTGAAAAGTATCTATTACAAAAAAGATGGGTTGAGTTTGTCCCATCTTGGCGTGTTCATCCGACCAAGGTACGATGTACATACTAGGTAGTTAGCACAATGCGGTCGGTCCCTTTTGCGTCTTCATCCAACGATGATGGGACGAACTTGCTTCTTGCTGCGATTGCGAATGGCTTCACTTCACTGACCGTCTCCTCCTACGTACTCCTTCCTTAGCAACCACGCTCTGAGAGGCCAACGGCCGAGTATTAACATCTGATTGTTTTCCTTATCGGATCCTCTTAGTTGCTGTGCTTATTCACCTTCCGTAATCGGACAAGGTCTCAGGGGTAAACTTTCTAGCTGCTGTGCCGCAGTCCCAAATGGCCTTTAAAAAGTCAGACCTCCCGCCCGCCAGCTTCGGGCGCGATCATCTTGCCTTTCTCTGCACATTTACCCATCGTGCAGCATTCAACACCAGCCATGACCGTCTCATCCTCCATCGGATGCTCCCCAACCGCCGACGACGCCTTCGGCCCCATCGTGCAGAACTGCCGCGACGGGTTTGACTTTACCCTGACCTTTGAACAATGCCTTTTCACAATCCTCCCTGCTTCCCTCCTCCTGCTTGTCGCACCTCTGCGCCTCCGCCACCTCGGCAAGCTCCCCCGCGCCGTGGCCGACGATGCCCTCCGACTAACCAAGCAGGTCGCCATCGGCATCCTCGCTGTGCTACAGCTTGTCCTCGTAGCGCTGTGGGCAACTCGCCGTGATGCGGGACGCCTGCGCACCGTCTCCGTAGCCGCGTCCTGCGCGTCATTTGCCGCCACTGTCATGTTTGGTGGTCTCTCGTACATAGAACACGCGAAGAGCCTTAAGCATTCGTCCATCTTGAATATATACATCTTTGTGTCTTTGGTGCTGGACGGAGCAATCCTCCGCACCGTATGGCTGTCGCACTTAAGCGTCGCCATCGGCGCCGTCTTCTCCGCGTCCTTCGCGCTGAAGGCGGCTGTCATGATCCTCGGGGCCCAGGGCAAGACCCGGCACCTCACCAGCGCCGGTCGGCCGTACAGCCCGGAGGAAACCAGTGGAATCTATAGCCGCGGTCTCTTCTGGTGGCTTACGCCCCTGCTGCTGACGGGCTTCCGTCGTCTCCTGAAGCCCCTGGACTTGTTCGTCCTCGACGAGTCCATGTCGGCTGCCGTGCTGAACGAGAGGTTCTGGCTCTACTGGAACAGGTCGTCGTCCCCGGCGGCCAACCTGTCAGAGGGATCGCCTCCTTCACATCGTCATCGGCTCATCGGCGTCTGCATCAGCACGCTGAAGTGGCAGTTGCTGGCAGTCGTCCTGCCGAGGGTCTTTCTGCTGGGCTTCACCATCTGCCAGTCCTTGATCCTGAACCGTTTCCTCGAGTTCCTGCAGAATCCTTCCGAGGACGTCAACTACGGCTACGGTCTCATCGGCGCATATGGTCTCGTCTACCTTGGAATTTCCATCTCGTCGAGTTTCTACTGGCACAAGGATTTCCGGTCCTTGTCTATGCTCAGGAGTGTCTTGGTTGCTGCCATTTACTCCAAGACGACAGAGCTGCGAGTTGCACCCGGAGATGACTCTGCGGCAGTAACTCTTATGTCAACCGATGTAACTATGACCAACTCATTGCTACTTTGACTCCGAAGCTTACAGAGTGTCTAGGTCGAAGCCATCATCCGCGCATGGCGCGAGGTTCACGAGTTCCGGGCCAACATCATCCAAATCGCACTTGCAACATGGCTTCTCAGCACACATATTGGCTACGCAGCTTGTGGCCCGATCATAGTCTCCGTCGTCGCTTTGGTTGCCACCATCTTCCTTGCTCCCGCCGCCCAAAAGTACCAGGTGGTCTGGGTCGAGAAATTCCAAAAGCGCATTGGTATTTCTTCCCCTCCCACGGCCTCACACACCGCGCTGACTTGAGCAAAAGGCATCACCTCGGCCATGATTGGTCACATCAAAAGCATCAAGATGTCGGGTCTGACGCAGAAGCTCTCTCGAACCTTGGCGGACCTTCGGCTTGCCGAGATGAAGGCAGCCGCCCCCTTCCGCATCATTGATGCTGTTACTTCAGCCATCGCGCAGGTGCCCCCGATGCTCTCGCCGGTGGTCGCGTTTGCCATGTACACTGCGATCGCCTCCAAGAACGGGCAAGCTCTTGATGCCACCAAATTATTTGCTGCTCTATCCCTGGTCATCCTGCTCGCGAGCCCCCTTTTCTGGATGTTCGAGGTCGTCCTCGACATGAGTGCGGCTCTTGCATGCTTCCATCGTATCGAAAAATAGCTGTCCACGCCGCCTCGCATCGAGTATCGGTCTTTTACTTCAAATTGACATTCTAGCGCACAATCCATGGAAACGGAGGAATCTTCTCAAGATGTCCAGCTTCAAAGTTTGAAGCAGTCAGAACTCGTCTTGGGAAAGAAGCCAAGAGGAGGGCCGGCTGTTATCATGAATACTGTGTCACTCGGCTGGAAATCAGATTCTGGCCCGATTCTGGAGAGTCTGGACTTTGAGGTTCAAGGTGGTCAGCTAGTGATGCTCGTGGGGCCAGTTGCATCCGGGAAAAGCACCCTCCTGCAGGGTCTCCTTGGCGAGTTACCTCACGTCACTGGAACGATTGAGCTTTCTAGCCACCGTGTTTCCTGGTGCGGGCAGAGCCCCTGGCTGATCGTGAGCGCATCCATGGTTCGTTGTATAGTGCCGAGGCTGACTGGCTGTGTAGAATGAGACTATTCGAAAGAACATCATTTGTTTCTCCGAATTCGACGCACATCTCTATCGGCAGGTTCTGACGGCCTGCGACCTTGAAAAGGACCTCGCCCAACTCCCGGAAGGGGACCAGACAGTCATCGGTAGCAAGGGCCTCGCATTGAGCGGCGGCCAAAAGCAGCGCGTTGTAAGTGAACCCCCCCAAGCGGCCTCAAACTTCGAATTGACGATGCCCAGGCTCTTGCTAGAGCTATCTACTCGCGGCCGCGGATCGCCTTGTTTGACAACATCTTTAGCGGATTGGACAATAAAACTACTGACGCTATGTTTCAGCGCGTATTCAGTGCCGAACGAGGCATCCTCAGAGCTTGGGGAACATCAATTGTCCTAGCCACCCAGTCAGGTATAGCCCCCAACCACGAACAAGAAGGTCAGAAGTAGACATGTAGCTGACGAAAGGTCGAAGTGAGCTTTCTATCGAGGGCCGACATAATCATCACCCTTTCAAGGTGGCAAAATTGCCGAAATGGGAAGCTTCGAGGACTGTCAAAACACAGAGGGCTATGTCAGCAGTCTCATCACATCCGGATCCCACGACAAAGACAAAGGCGGAGGTATCTTTCATGGAGAGACAACCGCAGATGAAACTACTTGTCTAGTTCCGGCCGAGAAGAAGACCAAGGCCATGCCAGAGGGAGAGAATAAGCGGCGGCAGCTGGGCGACTGGAGCGTCTATGGCTACTACTTCGGCACCGTCGGTGTCCTCCTCGTCGCCATCATGCTCTTCCTACAGATGACCTGGGCGTTCTTTTCGACATTCCCGAGTAGGCCGCGTCCTTCGCCTGAGTTCTTTGTGACACCGCTGACAACAACCGCTAAGCTGTCTGGCTGAATTTCTGGACGGACGCCAACGCCGAGGCTCCAGGTCAACGCGATGCCTACTACCTCGGCGTCTACGCCGCTTTCCAGGTCGGAGGTGTCTTTAGCTTTGGCGTTCTCATGTGGTAAGCTCGCAACCTGATCCACTCAAGTAGCCCGCTACTCACATCGACGCTCAATCGTCAGGTTTGTGCTTGTTCCGATCGCAGCAAGGTCGGGAATCAACCTGCATCAAAATCTTCTAAAAGCTGTCATGCAGTAAGTGTTGCCCTCTCCTTCTGAATCACGAGGAACAAATCTGACTTTTGCCACAGTGCTCCTCTTTCCCTCTTCACGAGCACAGACATCGGGTCCCTTACAACTCGGTAAGCATTGAAGAGTCAACCAACAACCCGCGTTGCCGCTTTTAACATATTCTAGCTTTTCTCAAGACAAAGGCCTCATCGACCGAAGCTTGCCCTTGGCATTGGTGATATCCCTTGCAAGTAAGACAATACAGCGCCTGTAGCTCTACGGGCCTCGACGCAGCTGACACAGGTTATCACAGGCTTTTTCACCTGCATCGGAAAGGCTTTCCTGATAGCATCGGCGTCATGGTACATCGCCATCAGCTTCCCCGTCCTGATCCTCGTCTTCTACTATATCCAGCGCGCCTATCTCCGCACATCCCGCCAACTCCGTTGAACCGATCTCACCAAAACATCCTTTGAACTGACATAACGAACTACCTAGCACGCACTTCATCGAAACCCTCTCGGGCCTTCCGACCCTGCGCGCCCACTCCCTTACCAACCCGTCCATAGCCCACTCCTACACCCTCATCGACCGTTCCCAGCGGCCCTTCTACATCCTCCTGCTTACCCAGCAATGGCTGACCCTCGTCCTCGATCTCACGACTACCGCCCTCGCCATCCTGGTCGTCGGCCTCGCAGTCCGCCTGCGCGCCACGGTGTCTGTCGGCCTCACGGGCGTCTCGTTCGGCTTATCTCCTTCACCGAGACTCTCAAGATGCTGATCCAGTTCTGGACCTCTCTCGAAACATCCATCGGTGCCGTCGCGCGCATCAAGAACTTCTCCGAGGAGACCACGGACGAGGTCGAGGACGATGCCCTGAGGAGGTCGGCACTGATGACGACCACCCCTGAGGGACGTGGCCCGGTGGCGGAGACGGATGTGAACGGCTGGCCTGGCAGTGGTGCCATAGAGCTCCGTGACGTTTCCGCCTCGTATGACGTGGCGGGCCAGAGCGACGGCGAACAAGCCGCCGCGACGAAGGCCTTGGACGGGGTCTCTCTCTCCATCCGCCCCGGCGAGAAGATCGGCATCGTGGGCCGCACGGGAAGCGGAAAGTCCTCCCTCCTCCTCGCCCTCCTCCGTCTCTTGCCGCTGTCCTCCGGCACCATTTCGATCGACGGGGCGTCTCTGCACTCCCTCCCGCTGCTGCCCCTGCGGTCGGCCCTCATCGCCATCACCCAGTAGCAGTTCGTACTCTCCGGCACGGTGCGACAGAACCTTGACCCCGTCGGCGTCGTCGCCGGAGACGACGCCGTCATAGAGTCGACCCTCGCGCACCTCGGGCTCTGGGAGACGATCCGCGAGAATGGCGGGCTGGACGCCGAGTTCTACGAAGAGGCATTGAGCCATGGACAGAGACAACTCTTCTTCCTTGCCAGGGCCATCCTGAGAAAGGACGTCGGGCGTGTGGTCCTCCTGGACGAGGCGACGAGCAGGTACGTTTCCGCTCCTATTTTCTTACTCTCGGAAGACGGCAGTGTGCTAATGAAAGACCAGTGTTGACATCCACACCGAGAAGACGGTCGAGGACCTCATCCGCGAGGAGTTCAAGGACCACAGCGTCCTCGCCATCGCCCATCGCCTGGACACGGTCGCCGACTTTGACCGCGTCGTGGTGCTGGACAAGGGTCGCGTCGTCGAGGTCGGGAGTCCCCGGGACCTCTTGCGACAGGCCGGTGGAAGGTTCAGGGAACTCTGGGACGCGAGCAAGCAGGGCGGGAGACGCGACGCTTAGGCTCATCTAAGAAGCCCTCTCCCTCATCCACACAAGACTGTGCTCGGGTTTTTAATCAGGGGTCCTACTTTGCTTTTTTTCCTTTTGTCCTCTTTGTATTAAACGCAATTCTCTTATCATCTAGCTCATGGAGGGCCACCAGGCATCGTCTATAGCATCACTGTCCACATTGATGAATCTTCCTTTCCCGGCTCGTTGTGCGACAATGTATTTTTCAACCGACCTGGCCATCTCAGCCGCCGCGCGGTACCTCTCAGAGTCCACAATCGGTGTATCCTTGCTCACATCGTACCCGTACCTCAGTTTCAATGTTGAGACCTTGCCCCATGGCCCGCCCCAGTCGACCTTGTCCCCGTCGACATTCGCCATGAGGGCCTTGAACCACGCCCCGCAGCCCGTCAGATCGAGATACTCGAGCCCGTAGAGGCACTTGCTCAGCTTCCTCAACAGGATGACGGCCTCGGACCAGTCGTTGTCGAGAGTGTGCGCGTACGCCCCTGTACCCGAGTACTGCTGCACCACGCCCTCGGGGGAGACGATCGTGGTAAACTTCGCATTGGGCGTCATAGATGGCTCTGGCCAGTACGCCAAGCTCAGGTGCGTGAGCGTGGGTAGCTTGGCCGCGAGGGCGAGGAGCTGCCTCCAGGACACGCCGGGCCCGCCGCCCTGCTGGTAGACGCTGGGGGCGACGGCAAGGCAGAGGTGCGTGATGTTGGGCAGGAGCTTCGGGGGCAGCGACGGCGCTTCCGCAGTGTCCCAAGAGTCTTGTACCACTTCAGATGCGCGCGCCAGCTTCGGCGGGAAGAGAACGTCCGACAGCTCTCGGACGGACATGGAGTGGCCCACCGAGCCCGTCAGGTCGAGGGAGTAGATGTTGCTGTTTAGGGAAACGAGCGCTTCGGCCTCGACCTGGGGCTGCTGATGCTCGCTGCCATCGTCGTACCTCGAGGCAGGAGGAGGCGGAGGAGGTATCAGGATGTTGCGCAAGTCCGCGGCGGACACGCCACCCTCATACCAAATGCCAACGTATTTTGCCAACGAGGCCCTGGCTCGGCTGGGCAACATGTGCAGGTAGTACTGGTCGTAGTCCCTCTGGAGTTCCCAGTTCAGGGCCATCCTGCGCAGGACGATGTCCATCAGGCTGCCTTTGTCTGGCTCGTACGTCCCCGGCAGGCCCTGGATGGCCTGGGCACCGCGCTGGGCGGCAGTCGCGTGTGCGCGCTGGGCATGGCTGGACGTTCGCGACAGCCAGCTGCGTGGAGGGGGTGGGCCTGGTGGTACCCTCCTGCCTGTAGCGTCGAATCTCGGGGCACGCCTGGGTGGTGGTGGTGGCGTCTCTGGGATCTGGAGGATCTGTCGGAGGGCTGGAGGGACGGTAGGAGCGGTGGCTTCTGATACTGCTGCTGATGCCGTCGAGGTAGCACGGGGGGAGGATCGACGGAGATCGGCCAAAAGTTCGTTGACGCCCTTACGTTGGCTCTCTGTGTTGCTTCGCTGTCAGTTCCAGGAGCGCGACGTCACGCAGGGAAATTTCGGTGAAGGAGATGGGCAGAGACAGAGAGGGAGGGGGTAGGCATGGGCCAGGGTGTGTGTGTGTGTGTGTGGATGGGTGAGTGGAATCCGGAGTCTGGACTGACGGGAAGAAGAAGAGGCTGAAGCTGAGGCACCCAATGATGATGGGGCAGTTGACTGCGGCTTCGAGTATAGCGCCTGGTGCCTTTTCTTAGGCATACCCGGGAGAAGTCCAGACACGAGGCGAGGAGGGTGAAAAGCCTCCAGGGAGAAATCCACGGATGTTCTGGCCGATCTAAAAGGGGGGGGGGGGGGGGGGGGGTGGAGAGAGGCCGCAAGAGACCGAAAGACTATACGAGTAAGAGAGAGCGAGGGGGGTGGAGGAGGTGTCGCAATTGCAGAAAGCAAACAAACTTTAGGCGAACTTTTGTCTCTATGTACTCCCTCTGTAATGCTGCAGCTAAATTGCATCCGCCTGGGCAGTCAGCAACGACGAGGAGATGAGTCCCGAGATCTTTTGCCTGTTAGTCACGGCCCTGTCTCTGTCTAGGTAGCCAGCATGGAGTGGAGTTCAGTTCAGGGAGTGGTTAGAGTCATCATACATAGTGGGGTTGTTGCTCACCTAAGAAATGCGCTCGTTCGGGTAGGAACGTGCGTGGCTTGGAGGGGGAACAACGTTACATACCGGTACGCCAGTCACGCTGAAATGGAACAAAGTCTCCGCCATGTTTGTCAGCGTGAGCGGAGGCAAATAGGTACCTAGAAGGGACCCGCTTTTCAAGGGCTTCTGAACTTCGACAAACACATGGTCTGTGCACTCGGATGGCGAGGCATGTCACCCGGCCCGGACACGGCAAGGGCCCACACTCCACCGGCCAACCTTCGGAAGGACATGGACGACTCCCACATCCAGACTCAAGTTCCATATGGTGTCAAGCCTCCCATGCAACAACAATAATCTGCCCGATCCGATAGATAGGGACTTTGCTGAATCACCACCCTATTGCTCCCAAGCCATGTGGAAAATTTGATGTGCCCACCCAAGTTGCTGGTTGTGCACCGGAGCTGAGGATGCCTTAGAGTTTGAGACTGCATCCGCCAGGCATATGTGCCACAAACCTTGCCGCTATCTTCCGCGTCCCCAAAGGACAGCCGAGGAACCCCTGGCCCTGTCACGCCTATGACTTCTCCGGTTGTAACGGAGCAATATCGTTGGGCGTGCCCTGTGCAGGTATTTGCGCAGAATGTTTGGCCTGCTCTGGTGCTGACGTCTTGGCGAGCAGAATCGGTGCGACCCTCGATTGCAAAGCCAACGATCCATTACCTCATTCCATGAGCTAATATGCTTCAGTGGAGCTTATCTGAAGCAACATTCGCGATTGAGTTACCGCCCAACACCTGGGAGCTGTGAGAATTAGAACTTGGCAGGTTCTGGATGCCAAGAATGCCGCTTCCACCGGGCAACGCTGATCATCCGCTCTGTTCATTATGGAGGTATGAATACAAGGCGGTTCCTCTTGAGGCTGCACAGGTACACAATAGTGACTATACACAGTGAAAAACAGAAAAACACTGTAAAGATACCATGCTTGACACTTGACACAATATAAGGTTTCTAATCAATGCTACAGAGATATCTAGGTATCTACCCTTATTACCAGACTATAGAGGTTATGAATACCTTAATAGATAGAGGTATTATAAACCCTGACGTTGGCTAACTAACTATAACTGCTGTATCTCACTAACCTATACCTCACCACAATTAAGATAGCAATACCAAGTGGAATAGCGCTACTAGCTAACTACAGCCTAAGTTTCTAGAATGTACACGCCTAAAACCCCTACCAACTTATTAAACACTAGCCTAAACAATATGTCTAGCTCTGTGCATTACGATTCTGCACTCGTAGGATAATGTCCTTGTTTTTTTTCCTGTGATCCAATACGTTTGCCGAAGATCACCATACTTGATACTTGTGATATTCGCCAACTCCGGCCTTGTGGTCAGAAAGCGTCTGTGCAATCCTTCAGAATCCATCCCGGACTCGAAGCGGCCTGAAGTCCAGCTGCGATTGTCGGGCTTTGTCTTGGATCAGGTACGAGGGGTTCCGTACAGTGGTGGCGGTAAGCAGTCTGGATGCGATAGGTATCGGATGCCCGCAGTCATTGGCTCTGCCAATCTAGGCTTTTGCATGGCGTCATTGGCCTACCGCAGCCACGAGTTATTGACCCGTTAAAGATGCCGCTTCCTCTCTTCCCGAGTGAGGGCCGGATCACCTCTGGAGGGTCCACGACGTACAAGTAGCAGCCGGCGGTGTCTCATGTGAGCAGACCAGGCGCGGCTAAGAGGTGCCGTCGTCTGCCTCGGCGTAGGGAGAGGGCTGACAGCCGATGGACCCGTCACGAAGATCCCGTCCAACGTTGCATCCACGAAAGCCCATCCGTGGCTTAATCCCGGCAGAAAGGCCTGAAACTGGTCTGATAAACAGCGTGCGCCGCGGCTGCACACGGTGTTTGCCGCTGAATAACTCAAGGTTGCGTGCCATTTTGACTTTCCGTGCGTCCGGCAGGATTGAAAGGTAACGACCATGCTGGTAGCCATGAAGAAAGGTTTTTGACTGCCTGGTTCCTCGCCAGGGGTAGCTTATACCGACCTGGTGCGAATGGCGCTGGCGATCGACAGGTCTTTCTTCGTGGCCAATCACCATCCTCTATCGATGGGGGGACTTTGAGGGTAACGGAGATGTCTTTCCACAACATGGTCAGGGGCTCATTCATGGAGTGGAGGTGAAACACGGCGCCCGAGGGCAAGAAGGCTGGCTAGCGGAGCCGTGTACTTGTCAGTTCGAGATTGACAGTCCTAATGGGGAAAGAGAAAGCGAACAAATACGGAAGATTGGGCCCCTACATTGGACAGATCCGACATTACAACAGAGCCAGAGAAACGTGGTAAGCCTACTCCCATCAGGCGGCCGCCTGGGAGGGGTTTTCGGCAAATGCTCAAAGGCAGTCCACGGATGTTGTGACTTGTGAAGATGATCCCAAGGGGATGGCCCTGAAGTAGCCGTTCACCTGTTCCGAGTGGCACCCAAAGTGGCCAGGATCACACAGTGCCTCTTGTCCGCTCTTTGACACGCATGCCATCGTCCTGTCCTCCTTTACGAATGGCTAGACTCAATAAGGCCGAGTATTCAAAGCATCGCAATGCATGCTTTTCGGAAACAAGGGCCTGGCACTCCATGGCAAAAGACAATGACCGACTCCCTGCCATATGCAATCACAGATATGTGCACCGAGATAGCCGATCCCTTGCCTCTAACGTGGCAAGTGGTTCTAGGACGCGACTGGCATCTGCTGGCAGCCTTCCCTGTGCCACTATGACTTAGGAATACCCCATCAGGGGGGTGTCGTTGCAAATCAGTGGCGCAAGACACTCCGTAGCCACGCCACGATACTATACTTTGTGCCCAAGGGGCTCTTTTTGCCACTGGAATGGCGCAGATAAGTCTAGACCGACAGCCCTGTTGCCCCCTAGCCGACTCATTTCTCAACCAGGGGTTCACGTTGGCTGGATTCTCCTTGCGTGAGAGAGGAAGCTCCACGGGTAACGGCCTTCGAGGAGTAGAAGCCACAATGAATGCTCCTTCGCGGGCCACACCCAGACGCCCTTATGGGTTGACCGCTTCTTTGAAATTTCGCAAGGCAGCTAGCATATTGGGCCCTTCTGTCGCGAGCCGTGTAGATACGGGGATAGCGCGCTGAAGGCCAAGGGTCTGAACGTTGGTGTCGAAACCGATGAGACGCGACAAGCCGCTGTCAACTCGGTATCCCAATCAGGGTTTGTTCGCACTGCCATCTCCCGCCTTGGTCCAGGTTCTGAAACGAATGCAGCAAGTGAAGCTAACTGAGAAAAGGTCTCGGCGAGGGTTTACTCTTCCAACGGTAGCTTCCGAAGCCATCGTAGTACTTGCACAGAACCATTGAGGACCAGCAGCTTGGTATGCGTACTCGGGCTGCTGTCGTCGACAATCCGATAGTAATCATACATCTCAGGGCAGCAGCCAGCAAAAGTCACAAGCAATACGTGTGCTATTCATGCCTCGAATTGAGAGCATACGACCTGAAATGCGCGAGGGACCATCTGTTTGGCTCCTGGCTGTCGCTCTGCCAGGAATCCATGGTCTGACGTGTTAACGGGCAGCCTGGGCCGCAAATAGGAAACACCAACGACCAGATGAATGACCCGGGAGGTGAGCGATATATTGATGTACTGAGAAATGGGGACTCGGCAGCGAATTGAAGCCAAGAGAAAACATGTGGCAAGCCGTGATAAGGTGCCAAGAAGACCCCGGAAGTACCTGGTAATGCATGGGCCTAGCTGACGGGGAACAAATCGCATCCACAGCTTATTCTGAACGGTCCTGTTTAACCAGAGAAACGTCCGAAACGGGTGTTGTAGAAGAAGCATTTTTTTTGTTCGAGAATAGGCAGATGCCTGTCGTCAACCCATGGCGGCGGCTTGCTTGTCACAAGATCGTGGCGCCCGGTAGTTGGTGTCAGAAAGTGGCTCGAGCTGAAGGATTGTTTGGATTAGTGGCCGAATCAGTAGACTCTGGTCCTGACGAAAGTGATTCGCATGTTTTGAATGGACAGGGTCAAAATTTCGAAAGCTCACGGGCATCGTCGCCGCCGTCGTTTGCATCCTTCCCCAATGGGCTCAAGTGTCCTTTGTTTGTCCAGCAACGCATTGTTTACACGAGTGCCAGTACAGGACGGCGAGCCGAAGGGGATGAAGCGAAATAACCCGGCAAGGTAGATGACGATGAAGACTAGAGCTACGTTAGCAGGAAGGCGTGCAGCCCGAAGACGGCGTGATGTAGCATGGTCTGGAGATGAGATATCCTAAGATGGCAGAGTCTGTGAAGACCTCGGGAAGGCGAAAGCAGCGAGAGATGCAGCGAGCCAGGAAGACGAAAGCGCGTCGGGTGAGGTCCAGAGGGCAACTATTCAGCAGTAGAACCAAGCGGATATCTGATTGAGAGTCTGTAAGTTGAGGCGGAAGAGGCCGGAAGTCCGAGAGCTTGCTTACCTGGGCAGCTAGGTAGGTAGCAGGAGTACCAACCCTCTCCGTCACCTTTCCACTCCTTATCTGAGCCATGAAAGGCATGCTGCATGATCAAGCTGAGAAAATTGAAGATGAGGAGGAAGTAGGAAAC